TTCACCACATAGCCAACTTGTACAAAAAGTGATTACAAAGCCAACATATGCAACATGTAGCCATCTTGTAAAGTAAGTGGATCAATATGTATGACATGTGGTAAACTTGTTGTCCAAGTTTTCAACCTATCAATCATTCATCAATACTTAAAAAGTCAAATTTGCATCTATCAAACTTTTGAGAAGCTTTTCTATAAGAAATTATTAAATTTATTTACTTCTAATAAATTCTATTTAATTCTTTTAATCTAAATAATTTTTAATATAAATATATATTTTTGTAGTATTAAGCTAATTGTAAGCCATCACAATTAAATCTAATATCTTGTTCTTAATTTTACATAGTTTTTTCAAGTAATTACTTAAGGCCACTATAATAATATTAATACTTCTTTTGAAGATGGAATTATTTTTATTTTTAGATATTATTCTTTTAATTTATGATAATCAATTACTAAGTTTATATCCAATAAAAATACATATTACATAGCAATCATTCTAGTTTAATTGTAGAATCTGAACTTTTTTGTATGTGGTAAATTTGAGTTGCAACAATACACCAATTAGATCTACATTAATTGTCATCCTAAAGTAGGACTTTATTACTCTTAGAAAAATCAATCCACCAAAAATATGTATCAACTCCAATTGGTAACTTATCCTTAATATAATAATAATATAAAGACAATTCATTCTTGATTAGATGATATTATCTTTTCAAAAATTAATGCAACTATTATCTATCTTAAAGACATAAATAAATTGGTAATAAAGTGCCTTTTAGGACAATAACATGAATTCAAGTTGAAAGACTTAATATTTAAGAAGATATGTTTTATTTTACAACTTTTCAATCATTTTTTATTTACTGCATCTTTTCACTTAGAGTGTATTTTTTTTATTAGAATTTTTTTTATTATATAAGATATTTAACTATAAAACTAAGTAATCCTTAATAATTTATTTGGTCATAGCTAATTTTCTAAAAAATTATTGATAAGATAATTAAAAAATAATTATTTAAATTAAATAATAAAACTTTAATTTTTTTTTAAATTAGCAAAGTTATAGGATGTTTATAGGTCCTTACAACATTTTTTCATAGTATCCATCCTAGTAAAATTTGCCAACTTCTAATGCTACCAAATTACTACAAAGAGGTAGGCTACTATGAGATAATTATTGTACTAACCTAGTAGAGTCTTGCACATTATTGAGGTGTAGACATATTTTACTTGATACTAATCTTTTTAAAGAAACATTTAAAAACATATTATAGTTTGATCCTAAAGATAAATGGTGTAAGGTTAGTTAGGATCCAACCATTTTATGAGCTTTGTTTATATTTATGTTGTTTATAGTCAAGAATGTTGTATTGGCACTAGAAAATTTTACCTTCTATTTAAATTTGTAGAGTTCATGCAAAAAGGTTGTGTAAGAGGAGGCACTCATTAATACTTTCAAACTTACAATGTATTATAGGCAAGCAAACTATCTTTAAGTTGATATTCTCTTGAGGGTAGGAGTTAATTTAAAAAGTTGGTATTAATTTAATAAGTTGGACTGAATTGTGATGGCCTATCATTCAAGAGTATTGTCTTCTATATTAAAAATAAATATTAACTTGTGGTATTAAATTTTTCAAATCATTAGAGGCTCTAAATACAATTAAAACTTACATAGTTATATTGCACAAAAGAAAGAGTTGACTGAATAGAAGCAACTTGCAAAATTGATTAGAGTTGCCAAAAAGGTTGGCAAATACATCATATGTTTGTTGGATTCTTGCCTTAATTACTATAAATATTGATGTGGTCATTTCAATTTTATTTTTAGATTTTTAATTAGATAAACAGTCATATAAGTGAATATAATCAATGATCCTTAATTTTATTTTCTAAAAATTCTTTGATTACAAAAGCTTGACTTTTCAAACTATCTTGTTGTATATTTCTACTAATAATATAGTTGTTGATAGGAAAAAAAAGAAGTTGAAGATTATACCTTTGCATTAGATTAGAGGAGAGAACATATTTCTTATATTGGCAAATCTATGAGGTTACAAGTCATGCGATTTATCTATAAAATATGCTTAATTAAAGATGAATTTATTGAAATAGTAACTTTGCTTATCTAAGAAAATATTTTTGTATTGTAACATAATTTTTAGATAAAATAGTAAATAAGAACATATATTTTAGAAGGAAAAAATTAAAGATTTAGTAAAAAAATTCTTTAGAAATTATAAACAATAGATATAAAAAAGTAAAAAATTTAATGCTTATATTTTTTTTATTGAAGAGACTTAAATCTACTTTATAAGATCATAAATAAGACAAGAGACAATAGATTGGACATAAAAACCACTTTAAATATTCTAAAATAAAATTTAAAGATATTTTATATCAAAAAATACCAAAGAAAAACTTAGATTGATATTAAAGAGAGGATTGTTTGTGAATGAAATTCAAATTATGACTTCAATGCCTTAAAAATAATTTACCATGAAGTCATAATTTGCTTCAAAATATGCAAATTTTGATGCAAATTCAACAATTCATCAAACAATTATAAGATTTTAAATGTCCTACAAAGTCTACTTAGAATTGATTAAGATTTGACATGATTAATTAAAATTTGATTGAAATTTGATTAAAATTTGATTGAGGTTTAATTAAGATTTAATTAAGATTGATTGCAATTTTTTTGATAATTACATAAAAATTTAATTGGTCTTTTAAAACTTTATGCCAAATTTATTTCAGATTTATTAGAACTTATTTAGAATTTGTTAGAATTTTCTTAGATTTTACTTGAGAATTATTCAGATTTTGGAGTTTGATTGGAATTTAATAGAATGTATCTAGGGTTTTTTGAAGTTGATCGGATGTATTTATGATATCTTCAGAATTGCTTAGGATTTCATTTTAAATTATTTTTGATTGCATGGTTGTAATTTAGAATTGGTTGAATTGAAGATTCTAAGATTGCACCTTCTTGGCCTTTTGTAGTGTGGAAGGGTGATCCAAATAATTGTTAATTAGCCAACATTTGACTATTTTCTCCACTAATCTTAACTCTATATATATTTTTTGTTTATTTCTTCTTGCATTATTCTAGTATGATACACTGATTGATTTTATTTTTTTATTTTTTATTTTTTATATCCATGCAAAATCTAGATTATATAGATAAACTGTTGTAGTTAATTAGAATACACTTCTTCTCAATAATTGGATTCAGTACTTGCACCTCTAAATCCTATTCCTATCCAAAGTTTAGAGTCACAAAAACTCTTAATTTATGAGATTTGTTGTTGTTGAGGCTAGCTCCATGTACAATATTGATTGTGAGGTCACTTTTTGTAATTCATTTGGTTACTTCTAAGAATAATCTAAGTAAGAACCTTGACAGCCTCAATGCCATCTAGTATGCTGAGATTCCAAATAGCTTTGGAATCAAAGTTGAGATCTCAGCCTTTAAAGTTCACAGTTCAAATGCAATTTTATATAGATAGTGTAGTAATTCATTTCTAATCGTCATTGTTGAGTCTAATTGCAAGTAAAAATAACCTTTGTCTAAGTTTTTTCCACTTAGCATACCAATCTTGCATATTTTAATCAAACATTCTTACTGACATGGCACTATTCTTCTTCCCTCCCCCCCTCAACAGAAAACAAAACAAAGAACAAAAACAAACCAATGAGTCTAAATTACAAAAGTATACCTCTGTGCTAGTTCAACAATTGACAGTCTTTCCTCTCTATTATTCAATAATACTAGTTTAAGAATCAAATCACAATAAGTTTCAGTACTATATACATACATACGTATCACAGTACTAGATAAAAAGAATTCCTTCACAAAGAAAATCACACTCCACTCTCAAACAAAACAGGTGAAGAGTGAGCACGATGAAAACAAACTAAAAAATTTCTAATAGATATTGAATGCATATGAAAAGCATGCAGAGGCACATTGGGGCGGACTTAGAGAACACAGCACTGAAATACTAGATCTTGGACAAGACCTCAGCAGTTGGACGTTGCTATTCTGAGTCCCCACACTGGCTACTTCACCGACCTGGAGCGCCGAATCACGCTAATCCTATTCCAGGTGCTTCACAATCCTCACTAAAGCCCAGCACCACCGATCAGTTGCAGCAACAGTGGCAGGCTTTGTTGCTGCGTAGCACAACATTTCTGGGACCACCTGCACTGATTCAACCTAAAAACCTCACTACACCAAAGCATGACAGTACCACTGCACTGCATGCTCCCTAGATGTCTAATAATTCTTACTAATAAATGTGCTGCAGTTTCCCTGTTCGATGCATGTGATGGGTAGTCGAGAGGATCGAGAGACGATGAAGCCCAGTTCCATAAAATGGTAGCTGGGTCCCGGGAGATAGTTCGCTAGATTGAACTGTACTCTAGAATCTCGTGTTCGTCTCCCTTCAGTTTGTGTGACCCATCCGTGCAATGCCCAGCTTAAAAGCCTCTGCATCCTGTGTGCTGTCTGGTTTCCCAGGCCGACACTCCGGGATAAGCAGGCGGCACCAACAGTTGCTCCTCCTTTCCAGGCATACGCCTTACTGCAGCACTAGATCCAGCGATTGTGGGAAACTAGCACCGACCACGACTTGCCAAGTCATTGAAACTTGCCTTCACTGGGGCGAGCCCGTGATCAGGCCCACGCCTGGTGGCCTGCAAGACTGTGTCTCGATTTGAGCCGTTGGCACAACTTGCATCTCTCCTCTGCATGAGCCGACACCCTCCCCTACACCAACTCCCTCACCTTCCTAGAGGGTAAAACAAAGCTGTTGAAGGGGAGCTGAGACACATCGCACAATCGAGCTTAATGTTGTTCACGTGATGATTGGACTTCTCACATAATTCATTAATCTACATCATTACATGGCGATTACAAGTTTTAGCGAAAGTTTGAAGATGCTAAGCGAAACAATTTAAAGCATTCATGCGATCAATTCAGGACAGATGGATCAAATCAGGACAGATCGAAGATACATAGATAATCAGTTGTTCAATGAACTTAAAAGATCTGCTCCACGGTAACCAGACACATGAAAAATAAATGGTTGAAAGATATCTATAATTAAGCTAGTTTTCAATTTCTACACACGTTGAAATCAATTTGCGACAATTGCAGTGATACAACACCTTCTAATGGAACAGTTATCATCTGAAAGAAAATATTATTAACAGATTTTGTTCCTCACTGCCCAAACATCTGCACATGCAAAAAGCTTGGCCACAAGTGCTTGGACTGCACAAAACAGAACCTCAATTCGCATGATGATCGAATATCAGCAAACTCCTGAAAATTGTAGCGACGGTTATCGATATTTGGGGCTGTGTCGCCAAAGTTGAGTGCAGATCAGGGTTGCCTCCAAACACACCGCCGTATCAAAACGATGATGTCATGCAAGGTTCCTTCGAGCACGATTGTGATCTCACCTTCCAGACTTGAATATGTCAGACATGGACGTCTGGAAACTGCCTTGAGCGAAGGAACTGGATTGCGACGAGCCCATGCCAGTGAAAGTATTGGATTGCGTCGTGGGGGTGGCTTCACCTGAAGACATGTATTTGCTCCACGAGACCTGATATGGTTCAGGCTTGGTGGATGATAACTTCGGTAGGTTTATTGATCCCTCCTCACTGTCCTGAAACCACTGGTTAACCTGTCGCATTGGGGGACGCTCACTCGGATCCGGAAGACAACACAGGAGTCCTATCTTCAAAATGCTGGCTATCAGGCTCTGCTTATCTTCCGGGTTAAGGTAATTCCTTGCACCATAGTCCTCATACTCGTCAGAGTATTCTATACTCTGCTCGCGCACGTAATCAGGTTTCGACTTAAGAATCCAGGGATCCGCCACACTGAGGATATTCCCCGCTTCGTGTGCTCGCCATACGCTATCCAGGAGGACATAATCTCCCAGATTACAGTCTGGGTTTGTATTTAGCGGCTTCCTCCCGCATACTACTTCCAGCACTAAGATCCCGAACGCAAATAAATCCGTCTCCTTGGTTGCACGCCCCGTGTGCTGCATTTCCGGGGCCATGTACCCCAGCGTTCCAGCCAGCAAGGTCGTCTTCTCCACTTTCTGGTGATCTACCAAGCGAGCCAGCCCAAAGTCGCCCAAGCGGGCCTCGAAATTCTCGTCCAGCATGATATTGCTGGCCTTGATGTCACGATGTAAAACGCATTGCACCCATCCCTCGTGCAAGTACTGAAGTCCCGCTGCAACTCCTGCCAAAATGGAACGTCGAATGGGCCACGATAAGGGCTCAAAGTCGGTCCACTTCGGGCTAGGGTACAACCACATGTCCAAGCTGCCGTTGGACATGTAATCGTACACAAGCACCAGGCCTTCTTTTGATTCGCTCCATGCTCGCAATTGGAGAAGGTTTCGATGGCGAATCTGGCGGAGGCTAGTGGCTTCAGCGAGAAAGCTCTCCTCACCCTGCTCATTGCCCTCCTTGATGCGTTTCACAGCTAAAATTTTTCCTGACGGTAGGGTACCCTTGTACACATCTCCAAAGGCGCCACTCGAAATCCGCTCGCTGGGGCTAAAATTTTTCGTTAACATGCGCACCTCACTGTAAGTCATAGCGCCCGGATTCCCTTCAAACTCCGGGGTTGTCATCTGCGCTAGCCTTCGATGACAAAGGTACCTCTTCCTGCGTTTCATTCCGACGCACACACACAGACAGAACAACCCTATTCCAGCACCTACTGCGCTGACGATACCGGCGATTAGTCCAGCCTGAGATTTGGGTTCAGACGTGTCAAAACCACCCGTAAACTCCCATGCTTTAATGTAATGTTGCTCATAGAATTTACCCTGCCAATCATTTGGACCATTTAGACCCATGCCGAATGTGCTTCCACTGAAGCCAACAAACATATCGTTTTTTAGAAAAGCGTTAGCTAAGTTAACATGAGAGGCTGTCAAATCCGTCAACATTGTCGACGAGCTCTTGTCCTGGATCGATCCCTTCCAGAATTGAACTCGAAGTTTGAGATCTGTGCTATTGTAGTCAATCGAAGCCGAGAAATCCCCCTTGTTTCCGCAGAAAAAATTACAATTCGTTATATTGGCACTGCCTAAACACAGATTCGAAGCATTCAACTTGTTTTTGTTGAGGATGACTGCGATGTTGCCGTCACTTACGTCGAAGTCAGGATTGTACTTGTCATTGCGGTATGAGTCAAACGTCACAGCGAATACGCGGAAGTCCGTCTGATTTTCCTTGGTGTCAAAAGCACACATCCGTCCCCCTGCGAGGTTCCAGTAGGATGCTCTTTCGGTTCCGCTCGTGTCGGCGTTGCTTGGCGTAAAAAAGAAGACCATCCCATCTCCACAATACGTCAAATTACTGCTCTGAAATGCAATCGTAAAATTCGTGCTAAAGCTAGAAGCGGCCCCTTTCGCGTCTTTCATTCGCACTGGATGTTTGTACAACAGTCTACCGCATGAATTGCAAGTTTCTTCTCCACTGCGTCTAACGCACTTTGCCCAATCAGCAAGTCCTTGCAAAGAGTAAGCCTTATTGGTTCTGTTGTACGTCGTGTCTCCGAGAGTATTGACCGTCTCGTGGTTAGCGTCACCATCGAACATAGAATAGGAAAACGATGTGCCCAAAGCGTGGGCCTGATCATGTAAAACAGCCAGCGCTAGGATCACCACCCGAAGACACAGAGATGGAGTCCACATCGAGCCCGCCCTTGTCATCGGAGCTTACGCAGAGATACACAACTACACCCTATCTTCTAATAACCTGATCCACGGCCAGCAGACATCGCAAGTCTGATCAGCCGCTATGCCCTCGCCACCCATACATCAACACCAACCACACTTCATCACACTCCACACTCAGAAAGGTAACACGACGGCCTTAAGCCGCAGCCGCGATACAAAACTTGCAGTCGCAAATGCTCTTCTGTACCCACATACCGAGCGGTACTCTCTGCTGTGTAGCCCCGCGAACCAAGTCCGGCACATGCTAGAGAATAACTGTTGACACAACCCTCAGCCCCAACAGTTGCGGTTGACAATCCGCAGACCTCAGTGGGCGGTGCGCGACGAGTCACCATGGTGTGTAGGATACTATAGAATAATTAGTGTCTCCTATTATCAACCATGTGCGGGAGATTACCAGCACCACTGCCGACAACTCCACAGGCTACAGATCTTAAGCTTCGGAAGCAGATGATTGTGTGTGATACAACGAAGCATATTTGCGGGTTTAGGAAATCTAATCATACTCATTTGCACTCGTTCCCACTACACATGGCACACAGTCATGCAGTCTATGGTTAGGTGTAAAATTGGAGTGTTGACGAAAATTGCTTGATCCGAAGTTACTTGCCACTAGGGGCAGTTTTCAACTTGTTTGACACTGTGGCTTTGAGATTCAACCCACGAGTTTTAGAACAGAAGCTGTGTCGAAAAACCAAACTCTCATGTGGGTGGGGTCCTGAACTGGGTCAACATGCCGTCAACCAGCTTTTTGTTGACATTTTTCATTCAGTGAATTGGTACAGAAATGTAGCTTAGCGGACAAAGGGGGTATATTTCCTACTCCATGTTCACTGGGCCTTTCTGTGGTCTACAGATGTTTGTGTGCTATTGGTCGCAATGTTCCATGTGTTTGGACCATGAGCTACAGTAACATATTAAGTCACGGGCCTGTTGGAGTTGTTGTCTTCAGGGTTGTGGTTTTTGGGGGGTCAAAAAGTTGGGCCATCTTGCTTTGATCAAAGTGTTAGTGCTGTGATAATGTGTTCAGCACAGGTGAGATACGGTGGAATGTCTAATATGACAGTGAAAAGCAGACATTGTTGTGCACATGATTTTGTATCCACCAATTTTCCAGACTGTGTTTATTAGAGAATTGAATGGTGATTATACCCATACACATAAAATAAGAAGAGAATTACCGCTATTTACATGTAATCACTTGTCACATGGAAACTTAAAACACTCATCTGCACTGAAATATCAATTGTGACCTTTAAATAATATGCAATTTTCATCATTTATATATCCAAGATGTCAAAGTTAAATCAAAGTAACTAATAATGACAATGATGATAATTTGTAACAAACTTGAATTCAATTACTCATGAAAGTTTGTATCGAAATTACAAACAACAACTGTAAATTGTGGGCATAATCTTAACTGGCAGCCCTAGGAATGTCTTGTTGACTTAAGTTGTTGTACACTTTGCCATTTTATTAGATTCAAATTTTAATTATTTTTTAAATGCAGAATCAGTGTTTACAATGTATGTAAATATATATATGTATATATATATATATATATATATAAACGTTGTACAAAACCATGACAGCTGGCGAGTATTTCAAACAACATTTGCTCTACCGTTCTGGTTCCTTCTTCTTCTTCTTCTTCTTCTCCATGTCTTCCTCTTGTTATAAATTAATGCCTTCCCATCCCCACATTAGACCTTCGAATAAATCAGCACATCTGCTACTTGTATAGTAGTGCAACTTTTATTTGAAGAATAAAGAAGCCTTGAAAACAGTCAATGCTTACCTCCACTACGTCGGATGGCAGCTACCAAAGCGGACAAAAGTATTGATCTGGTCCACCTCGATTCTCAAATTCCACCCAATATTATTCGAAGAACAAAGAAGCCTTGATAGTTGTATATGCTTTTCTCCACTTGGTGCCATAGCACCCACCAAAGCGGTCAAAAACTATTGATCTAGTCCACCATGATTCTCAAACACCACCACTTCACACACACACACACACACACATATATATATATATATATATATACAGACACAAATCCACTGTTAGATACAAAACGTATAAGTATGGACGGGAATAATACAAGGAAGAACACGAGGAAACAATATCATAAACAACTGTCCGGCCGGAATGGAAAATATCATAATACTATTCATATTAATAGTATTCAATAATGCAGAATCTGAGGCTGATAGAGCAAGTGGCTGCACGCGGAATCGAGCCAATGATCTCTCACTCAGTTGACTCCAGCAATTCTCTTGCACTGCTGAAGCATAGACATCATCCATTTAAATTTCTCACCTTCCTTTGTGCCAAATTTGGTGAAAAAAGGTGGATGTGTTTGTTTTCAATCATGCATCTGATGTCCTTAATTATCTGTTGTTTTGGGGGATTCGAAGTTTACTTGACGAAAAGGAAAGGAAGCAATACTTCATTCGTTTACTAAACATAGAAAGTAGTCCATTTCGTGGATTTTAATTATGAGATTAGGGTGTGAGCATCTGCTGTTTTGGAAAAGAAACGACTAAAACAAAAAAAAAAAAAAAAAAAAAAAAAGAAATGGGATTAATATTCGCAAAAATTGAAGAAGGGGGAAAAACAAAAAACTGAAAACAAAAAATCTCTACTGTTTGTGGGTTCAAACAATGTTTTAAAGTGTTAATGTATTCTTTATAGATATAATTTCTGGGCACATGAAATTCGTGACCCAAAAAGTCAATAGCAAGAAAAGTTCTACTTGAGTGTATAGCTTTTGACTTTTTTACAACTACGAATCTCATTGAATATTCCTTAAATAAAAAACAGGAAAAAAAGAAAAAAAAAAAAAAAACAAGAAAATAAAGTAAAAGAAAGCAACGCCTGATCTGCATTGGGATTGTAATGAAAACGTTGAAAACTGTGTGTTTTATTTTACAGAATTATTATACTTTTTCTTTTATTCTAAGGTTTGATATTATTTTGGATTGATGGTGTTGCATTGTAGAATAATACTTCTTTATTCTTAAAACAACCTTTTGATGATCTATGAATGCATCAAACATCTCATGCAATCAACTACTCCTAAAATTTGGTGATTTTAACATTTGCTTATGATCAATAATTTGTAAGAAAATTTCTGTCATGATTGTTTTAGAACAAACATTCTTTCACATCAAACTCTTTTAATAAATGTAATTTTAATTATTATAACAACAAAAGGAAAGGATATTCTTTCTGGCTGTAGTGGAAGCTGTAGAGTTTGTGAGTACAAATAGATCAAATTTTTATGCTTACCCATATATTCTTCCTTCTGAAAAAACAATAATATTGTAATTAGGCATACTTATTGTTTCTTGATGTTATAGGTGTACAATTGTTCAAACCACATTTGTAACTAAGAAAATGTGTTGTTTTCAACATCTGAGATTGCATGATGTGAACTATCTACTTGATTTTTTAAAATTTTAAAATCACATTTACATTACTTCTTATATAAGTATTTTAAAATTATCTTTACTCGTTGGTATTAATAAGTGAATAAATAAACACTTATTGGCTTTATTAAAAATGGATAGAGTAAGTACATAGCGAATGTGTCCATGTTTTAAAATACTTTGGAGTTTATCCAATTTGATTAGAATAAAATAAAACAATTACAAACCAATTCTTTTGTACGATGATATCAGATATAATTAATTTCTTCAATTCCACCTTGTTGTTGGTGAATTAAGAGTAAGACGTTCATGGTTGTACACTTCAAAACGTTAGAGACATTACATGATTTTGATGGGATTGATGTAACAATACTTCTTATTTTTCTTTAAAGAAACATATATAATTCCGGGTTTTTTTGAGACTCAAATATTCAGGTGCCCTCTAATTACAATGAATCATAAACAATCTTCTCTCTTTACATTTATTAGCACTTCCTCTGAAACCCTACTCGATACTTTTTACAATAAATGAGCGTATTATTAGCTACAAAACATGTTTACTAATTTATCATATCATATACATATATATATATATATATATATATGTATTGAAGTTGAACAATTTCATGTGACAATGATCTGAAATAGTAATACTGGATTAAAGGTTTGGATGGTGAACATATTTAGGATACCACCACCACCAAAGCATATTAAAATAACGACAAAAAATGGCTTTTAACGAGATTTCCGTATCTTTTGCATAACAGAAGCTAACATTTTAATGGTATTTGCTAAACAATAAAATATTCTTTTGCAAATTATTCTTGCAATGATGACTGGATTAACGTAGGAGATGTTGGTGTTTTCCGTCCACGTGAAATTGCACTTAGCGCTACCATGAAAATGATTCTTTTCTTCATGTATAGCGGCTACAAGTTGCTAATTAACAAAGTCAACCAATTATATTCGTAAATCAAAATAACACTATCAATGTCAATCATTTGCATGCATAAACAAAAACGTTTTTTTAACAAGGTTCACAGATATTTGTTAACTCTCTTGAATCAAATCCAAGATAGTATTTGAATCAAATCCAAGCAAGTAGCCACTAACTACTCTTTTCATTTACTCGAAAATAAACTTTTCAATGATGAAAAAACATCCATGTCATTCTTGACTGATCAAAATTTTATTTAAACAAAATATCCAACTTATATATGTTTTTGTGAATTTACTTCAAATAAATTTTGTTAAGTTTTTGCTGCCGTAGATCAATCCGATCAATCATGTGATCCATCACTTTTCTTGGTTCCTTGTTGTTGTCAAAGGGCCGAGTTATTCTTATTGTATGTACACCAGTCTTGACCTCAAGGTTGAGGATAGATTGCGGACGCGCACTAATTTAGGCTCATGCTCGGCATGAGCTTCTGACATGGATGATGATTTGCTCCATCAGCTGCTGCTCTCAGTTGTGTGTCGTGTATGAACTGGAGTATTATTGCAGATGGATTGATGGGGAAGAAATGTGCGGCATTTTTTGCTTGAGAACTCGATTCCAAATCAGTCGGCCAATTGTGGAGCCGTTGATTTCCACGTGTTCTCTGAGTTCTGTCGTACTTTGTGCCGGTCAGATGTGTACAGTTGTTTCATGTGGAGGATACAGCACGAAAAATTCAAAATTTAGGAACGCGATTTTTTTTCGCGTAATCTAGATCTGACGTTTGCATGCAACCAATAACTATTTGGAAGTGGGTTTTGTTTTTGTGTCTGCTTTCGTCAATTGAGATGGCTCTTCAGCAGTGGCTGGCGCGTTAACATCTAAAGCGACTGTGGAGGGAAGTTCGAAGCATTTTGTATGATAACAAATAAAGTTCTGGATATAAAAATCTTTACGATGGTGGTGATGCGTTGAATGATATTGTGGGGTGTCAATTACTCAATCTAACCCGTGGTCCAGATTGAAACAGTGTAACCCGAGTTGATTGGCATTTAATCTACTTATCAAACCTTATTAATTCTCGAACAAGAATTCATAACTTCAGGCTGGTGGTGGTTTGGGTAATCTCAGGTGCTCTGCTATGGTCGCTTTCCTGAAACTTCTTCCCAATTTCAAGATTCTAGGTGCCTACTGTTCCTAGAAATCAGCAGGCAATGAATTTTTGTTTATCTCATATCCCAAGAATTCAGCGTGAGCTATTCCTGCACTACACGATCCTTGGGCAACACCATATTCACTGATTGGTCGAATCCTCCTTGAGGATGGCCAAAAGAAATCTGACCTAATCAAATTATTCCTGAAACCATTACCTCTTCGGAGAAGAATTATAATTCAACAGCTACACATAGAGAAATCAAGGCAAGTGTACATGTATGAACGCTATATTACAACAGTTCCATCATTCCGATGTCAGCAGCCGCGCTTCTGAAGAGTTCTTGGTGCCAGTCGTCTCCCCATCCACAGCAAAGAAAAACATCCCTGCAACCCCAACGATTAGATCATTTAGAATTTCACTGTAGAAGGTATAAAATATGTTTAAGGGATGAGTTGACATCACAAATCTAGAAGGGATAAAAAGTGACAGCATGAAATCAAACATATACACCAGGCAATACAAACGTATTGATGTTGTAGTCTGCACAGAAAGCGCAAGAAAATAAGGCATGTATACGTACCAACTGCCCAAATGGCAGCAGCTAGGTAAAATATGGATGTTAAAATGAGGCACGTCAAGCGCCAATTTTGAACCCAATCCTGTGATAGATAATAGAGCACACAACAAGTGAATTACGTGCTTATACTCACCTTTAAACAAGACCCATTTCACAACTTTCGATACAAGTAAGAATATATCCCATTTAAAACGCAAGAGTCGAAAAAAATAAACCCTCGTAACGGTGTCATTTGTAAAAGCAGATACCTGAAAGAAGCCTACAAGAGGAGCTGACGGCACATCTCCAAAAACATGTATGCAAACCGTAGACATGGCCATGGCTAATGCCTGAAGACTAGGATTAACGCTCATGAGGGAGAGGCTATTTACAGGTCCCTGTCAGCACATACACATACAGATGAGTAGTAATCAGTATACCAAATCCAGACATGAGATGGTCTGTATACCATCTGTGAACAGAATTGCTCAATGAAAAGTAATGTGGCCAACCTGAGTTGAAAAGAGGAAAAATTCGCCAACTGCAAAGAGAAGAATGAATGCAGTTAAGCTGTGTGACAGGAAGGCCAAAAAGCAACCAGTGGCTCCCACGGCTGTCGCCACTGCAAGCAACTGCACCAAGAAACAAAAGAAACCCAATTAAAATCCACTCAATTTGTCTTAAAACAACATCAATATTAACCAAATGGTACTCCTTCGTGTGTGTAAAAAACTAGAGAAGAGCATTTCTTTATGTGAAGTAATCTGATATACTTCACTGCTATCATAAACAAGGACTAGACAACATTTTTTTTAATAATTACTGTGATTGCAATAAAAAGAAACCAGTCCCTAGCAGACAACAAGACACCACAAATAAATTCAGCACCTTGAATGAATTCCGAAGAGAGGCTCCTATATAGTCCAAGAAAAGACCGCCACAAATAGTCCCCACAATACCAGATAGTATGGTCACCCCTCCAAATATCTCATCTGCATTTCCCTGCTCATTCACAAATTTTCACAAAATGTTAGAAGAAGTAAAAAGATTTGCTCAAGTCACTCTATTTCCTAAATGAGCAAGAAATAACAAGAAGCACAGAGTACATTCACTGCAGCGGTCCCCATCGTCAATTGCATCCTTAAATTTGAACTGGTTAGGACCATTTACCATTTGGAATATTGCTAGACCTGCTTTGGGACCCCAATATGCATATGCACCGAGAACGAAGTTATACACAATGTAACCTGCAATGCACAATCCATGAACTTAGAACGAATGATCATGCTGTGTGAGAAAGCCCTAAAAACCGCTTTCCGGTTTTTAGGACAGAACTTCATCGTGCTACTAGTACAACTAATTGATCATGAATCTAGTCACACACAAAATCATTCAAACTATAGATTAGCTAAATCAAGAACAGTTATCGAACGCTTGAATTGTCAGTTGACTTCACTCACCTACGACGTTCGTGACGTAGGGCTGACAATACGCCAGCTCCTTGATATCAGTCAGGATACTACCTGACACGAGGGATTCATGCGGATCCGAAGGCACCACGTCTGCACATTTCAGATGTTAGTCAAGCGGAAGATAAATAATCGAAACAAAGAAACATGTTTAAGATACAATTGTAGAAGTGTTTGGTGTCAGAGAGTATCAGATCCCCTACACATACTTTTCTGCATAACTTGTTTCTGTCTATCTTGGTAAGGTTATAGAAAAACGATTGATGAGTGAAAGTTATGTCGCTACTATATCACTAATCCTGTAACACTGATGCACCAACTATCATGCAAAATCACTAAATATTTGCACCAAAGATAAAGTCTCATGCTCTTTGAAGTAGTATTAAAAGTCATAGCTCAAAACGTCATTATTAAACTTCTAATCAGCTTTAAGATGCACTGAAAGAGATCTTTGGACCCAGTGATAGTGTGAAGCAAGATCGTGAAGCCAATATCAACCCATATATAGCTGTGGAAACACACAAAAAAGCGGAAGAGCTTACAAGGTAATTTCCATATACATCAAACAGCATCAAGGCTGGAATACAAACCTTCTGTGTGAGAATGCTGATCTTCTGCGTCAGACTGAGGAATTGCTTGAAGCTTTTCCAGATTTCCTGCTCCCATCGAAAAGGAAATGTTAAATTCTACAACCAAACCTACTTAACAATTCAAATTTGGAGGTTACGATGTAGACACCACAAAGACAACATCCCCAAGAGGGACTACAATTCCATGAAGTAAAGAGAACGACATCTCAGTGTGCACAACACGAACAGAATTTGATCAAAGACACATGTTTGCACTGTCAGGAACCAACATCTTCGTGAAGACAACCAGTAATTAATCGAGTAGTTTGAACTATGAGAGAAGCGTGTAAGACCAACCTTTCAGGTAGACACGGTCGGAAACAAAACCAAAGATTGCAAGGGGGAGCATAAGTAAACTCTCAATCCAAAATGCAGCTCGCCACCCCAATGTTCCTCCTACCTACAAGCATTAAGAAGCTTCAACACTTGAGTCTCCAACAAAAAGAAAAAACAAAAAACAAAAAAAACAAAAAAAACAAAACAAAAAAAAACAAAACAAAACAAAACAAAAAACAAACAAACAAAACAAACAAACAAAAACAACAAAGAAACACGATCGACAAAAAAGGCTAGACCGATTCCACAAACTGAAAAGCCAAAGATCACAGGCAGAAAATGTACTAGGATTTGGCAACCATGAAAAAAATTACTTCAGAATTTCGTGTAATTAGATCATCAAAGAGAATCGCCGAAAAAGAATGATATTCCACGCTACAAACAACTATGTATCAAAACCAGCTAATATCTCCACACAAGTTCGAAGAATTAAGGGCAGGTAACTGGATACATACCACTCCTCCGTAGACGTACCCCAAGGCAACACCCACCGGTATGAACATATAGAAAATTGAGATCCAGGAAGAACTCTGCAAATAGAATTTAACCTTATTTTGTGACCATCAAAAAAGTATAAAGCACATTAATGCAGTCTCATCGACGTTGACCTTGCGGCTAATCGGAAGAACCATGAGATACGAGGAAAACATACGAAACAATGTATAAAGGGTACTTTCGTACACAAATAACATGATTAGGCACTATATTATTCACCCCCTAAAACGAGTTATCCGCAAGTTGCAGCATTAATATACAAACTACAGCTGATAATCCTGTTAGCACCATTTCACCTGTGAAGGTGGAGCAACATCAAGTATGTAGGGAGCAGCCAAGCTGACAAAGGACGCCTCTCCCACTCCTACCAACCTGCCAACAGAAACGTCAGTATTAACTTATAGACGTTTTATTAAATTATAGATTGTATTAACTTATATAATTTAATAGACGTCTTCCGTATGACGCTCCACAAATTGTTTCAAGTTTCATGGAGTATACCGACGTCTATTAAATTATAGATTGTATGCAACTGACCCTGTGATCACGGCAGTCAACCCATGTACGGTGTTCATCAAGTAAAGCTGCGACCAACTGAAGGAACAACTCAAATTAATTATAGAACTACTGAAATTGGAAGTATTTAACATGTTAAAGTTGCATACTCACATGCGGGAAAACGTGATAGACCAAAACCCTACGGAAAAGCCACACCCTGCTGTCGCAAGCACCCATACTGAAAGACCAACTCCAATCAGACGAAAAGGATTTAGCCTGTGAAGGGAAAAGAACATCTGTATTAGACCAATAAAGAAAAGTTACAACAATGAGAACTTCACATAATCTCACTCTTGCGCAATAATTCTACACACTATTGGTTTTAGTACAAAGAGAAGGATTGCATGATCAATCTGCAAAAGCCGATCACATCTTCAGATGGGACATATCATACGATTTGAGATAGTGTACCCTGGCAGACCAAGTTACGGCAGAGAATAATAATCAGTGATAAGCAGAATAATATACTTACTTCTTCGACAGGTGAGCGAAAAAGGGGGACGCTACTAGAAGCCCAACCATAAATGCAGACGATAGAATCCCATCTTGAAAGTAAGTCAACCCAAAATCGCCCCTACCATCCAAAAGGTAAACTGTTAAACCCTATATTAGAAGAAACTGCGTACAAATATTTGGGTTGTGGATGTGAACACATGCATTCAATGTTGGAGCTTCGCCATGTAGACTCCCGAAACAAATTTCACCGATACAAAGCACCTGCAAGTCCAACTTCCAGAACTGTACCAAAAACATCGTCCCTGACTTGAGTTCACAGCCACGAATCCACAATAATCCAAAACATCCAACTTTTAACCCGATCAAGAATCACTTACTGGATCCCAGAGCCATGATAGCAAGTCTCATCTTTCCGACACCCTGCATCTCCGGGCACTCCATTGACTCCATTGCTCGCAATCGTCCCACGGTCCAAATAATTCAGCAGATTAATCCAGCAAAACAGAACCAGGAGTCTACACAACCGTCAACAATAATCGTCATGAGCACCGGCATCATCACCACCCAGCTCAGAATTCCCAACAATCAAAACTATATCTCGAACCTCCAAAAGCACCCAACTAACCACAGCAACCACAAAAACCTTGCAACTCACTCTCCATTCCAGAGAATATCCGATCGGCGACAGGAACAGTAGTCTTCATGAAAATTCCAGATCAGACATCTCAACACAAACAAGTGAAAAGAAGATCTAATACGTATTAACACCCCACAAACGAGACTGCTTCCACACGCTCGGAATTAGACCCAAAAGACTAAGATCACCAACATAAAAAAGCGGTCGATTGAATTGGGAAAAAGGCAGGGGGAAGAATTGGGTACAGGGAGATGGAGACAGGGAGGGGGAGTGTGTGTACCTGCGAGGCGTAAACCAAGAGGGTTGATGGTGGCCCCGGAGGCCACCATCATCGAGCTGAGTCCCTGCCATCCCCCCACTTTCCCCTTGTGCTTTGCTTTGCTTTGCTTGCTTGCTTGCCCTTCGCTCTGCAAAATTCGAGCTCTCGTCTTCACTGGAGCACACTTCGGCACCACGCCCTATTCTTCGCGGCTATGGGCGCGCCTTTTCCCCCCACCATGTCATTGCTTCTGGCCTCAGTGATGTGCCTGTAACCGTGCAGGCGGGCGGGTGGGCGTGGGGCGTAGTCATTTATTTTTTCTTCTTCAAGATGGTTAGGATGGATGGATAAATTTAGTAAATGCCTAGGTCTATTTAACATCCCTCTACATATATTATGTGTTGATGTTTCTAAGAGGTATGATTTACATTGATGTAGTTCTTGAACATAAAATAAATTATAAATTATTGAAGAATAAAAATAAGAAATTTACAGAAAGATTTTACTTCCACAGCCATCTTAACAACAATCTAATTGTAATTTGTGGTGTCATTTAGGTATTAACTTTGTAACTTTTTGATAATCTGTTTAAAAACAATATTTTTAACTTTGAAAAAAATTAATGTATAATTTAATAATAATAAAAAAAAAAAAAAAAAAAAAAAAAAAACCATGTCAAGGTAACAAAAAACATATTGAAAAGTTTGATTGTAATGTATATTAGATTTTGAAAAAAAATCCATTTGATATATGATTTTTAAAACTTCAGTAATGTAAAAACTAACACATAATCTTTTGTAAATGAGACTTAAATTAATACTAACATGTAATATTTGTAGCAGATTTAGAAATAATAATATAGATATATATATATATATATATATATATATATATATATAAGTCAATAAATTAATTTATACTTTTCATCAAATAATAGTGATAATTATAGCAATTTCATTATTTTATTTTATATTAATATATTTATTTCATTTTATTATGATGCTAACTTTTATACGTATAAGCATGTCAAATTTTACAAGTACATTTTCAATACTTCTAAAACTTTATATAGTGACAGATTATGAAAATTATACTAAATTTCAAAATCTGTTTCATCTTTACATTTATCGCAAACTCTTGAATCAAGATTAGAATATAAAAAGGATATTAACAAGATTGTAATTAGTCTCAGTATTGGCTCTATTTATACCATCTAACAAGAAGTTCATGTAATTTTTTTGTAAAGACTAAAAGACTTACAAAAAAAGTATTCAAATATTTAGATACTATTGAAGTAATTTCTCAGATTTACAAAACCTAAGAATCTAAATCTAAATAGTACATAAAAAAAACACTTGTAAATCCCACTTCATATTAAGTAACATCTAAATTATTTTACAAAAAGAATATTTTCTATCCAATCCAATTTAACTAACTTTTATTTGTTTTAATTTACTATTAGTGTCTTAAATGTTACAAATGTTTCCAAAATTTGTGATTGTATGTTAATGATTAAGGTTTTACAAAATAACCAATTTTAATAGAATCTGGCTTTGTGCACACATCTGAATATTTTCTTATAATAGAAAGGTAGATTTTTTTGCTTATTTTAACGAGAATAAATTAGATATAAATCTAGAAAGCATTTAATTAATTTTAATTAATATCTCATGAGTTTAATTAACACACATTCACAGGATGGAAAAATTTGACATCAAAAGCCTCCAAATTGACAGCCAACATGATCTTGTGTGCCACCAGGTTAAAAATCCACAAGAAAGATAAGCAGTAATGACAATTTTGCAACGACCATCAAGTTGAAAGAGAGACGTACAAAATTGTGAAACAACCGCACAAAGCAACAAAAAAGATTCTGATCCATTACAAGCCATCCTTGTCTATCGTGTCACATTGTTCGCTTACAATGTTCCTATCTTTTATGTATGTAGTACATATGTTAAGTAGTTACAAGTACAACAGTAATTTACGGATTCAAACAGAAGTCTTGAAACATTCTCGTTAATTTATGTAGTTCCCGACATGTTAAAGTTAATTTCAACAGTCACAAATATTTCAAGTGCTGAAATAGATAAAATTTGGTGCACTCATATGCATTGTGGTTACACTGATGTAGGACAACAAAGACGATTCACAGTTCAAGGCAACCTTTAACACATTCCGAGGATGAAGAGATAACTCTTCCAGGGGGGCTACTTCACAAACATTTCGCACCATTGTCGTTGAGATCATGTCTCCGAAGTACTGCTCACGAAAGCAGGGTGTAGGGAATCAGTCACAGAACGACGGCCAGGGAAGTAGAGCTTCCTCACAGTTTCATAACCTCGTATGCAACACACAGGCAGATGTTACCGCACCGGTTTGTAACAGAAAGCTCCAGTTCTTCAGTCTTGTAGGAGCCTGGATAGATCGTCACCCCAACTTGGAGCCGCTTAGTGTCAGGTCAAGTCATTTCGTAAGTCGCCTGCACTGAATCGCATCTACGTGAATGAGTGTGAGGTAAATTGACGTACTCTCTGAATTGAGTGGGTCGTTCTGGAGTGCGCCTTCCTGGACTACATGTCCTCTCGTAGGAACCGACTTAATAAGGAAGAAGAGTTCACGCTGCCCATGTCAAGCTCCGAACATCCAGAACTAGAAATATGATTCACATCTCACAGATCTCAAACTTCACCAGTTACGGGCTTTTTTTTAATCAAATAATGTAAGAAAAGGTGGGGGTTGAACAGTCATCTGGTTGTGGTACAAGTTAAATATTACACAAGGCATCCTAATGGTTATAGTGATATGATCACAAAGGTATGAAATAGCGTAAGAGGCAAATTTCGTGCCTGAACACCGAGTTAAGCAAAATCTCAAGGTGTCCGTATTCTCTATCAAACTAACAGCCCGAATCATTGGGTCACTAACGTCTATTGTACAAGGACCACGCGAGCATGACGGGCAAGAAGACTCAGACATGAACATCCAGTCTTGACGCGCACGTCATCGCGGCGGAAAACTCAGAAAAGCTGATCCTTCCATCGCCATCTGAGTCGGCCTCCCGAATCATAGTCCTTAGTTCCGTCACAGACAAGGTCTGCCCGAGCTTTGCCATTGAGTGCGCAAGCTCCGCTGCTGTGATAAACCCATTCCCATCTCGATCGAAAGCTCGAAAAACGGTAAGCAACTCCTTATCACTATACACCACCGCCTTCACCAACTCCGGGCCCATCAACGAGACGAACTCTGCGAATTCAATCATTCCGTTTGAGTTCGTGTCAGCCCGTTGCAGTAGTGCCTCCAGTTGGTGCCCCTCAGGCTTCAACCCCAGGCTCCGCAACATCAATCCAAGCTCCAGTTCGGTAATGCTGCCATCCTGGTCTCTATCGAACCGCGCGAAGATTTCCTTCAGCTCCGCCAACTGCTCCTTGCAGAGCGTCACCCCTCCCACCACGTACTCCGCCTCCGGCCTCTCCACAGTCCCCGTCGTCATCACCACCATCACGCCCTCGGCTGCCTCAAACACACAGGAAGCAGCCCTTCCCGATCTGTAATCTCATACAGAAAACAAAACAAAACACGACATTGCACCCCACAGCTCCAATTTATGCCCCTCTGTGCAAACGAATCCAATGCAACTCCTGCGACTGAACACGCCGCCCCGATCTCGCCACAAGCGCAAGCCGTGCATGAGAAGAATGCTTCACGCCGTCGTTGGCGCGCTAATTAGTTCCAAAAGCTAACCTAAGTAAGGAATCCACCCCCTCTTTCGGGCATATACCAATCACCCCATATCCTAATTTAAGCGCTAGTGATAGAATCTACAGGTAGCGACAACCGTCGACACGCAATGGACCGCGAAACAGCGACTCCAGCTATTTACGAGGCGGTACCAGAAGGGGTGCAAAAGCTGGTCCCGATGTTTGCGTCTGGATGACACTGCCATGCCATTGGAGGGGGGCTGGAGACGCATCATGGCGCAGTGTGTCCAGCCATGGGATTACTATTCATACAGCCCTGGGAGTGGAAGAGCCGGGCCGATAGGAATCCGGCGAGGGAGGACCCAACTGTGCACGACGATCAGGCCAACTATGGCATGGGCCACAGCTCGCGCTGCACATGCACTCAGCGCTGCTCCTCGTCGTCGGCTGTCAGTGGTTTCGCGGCTTCATGTTCCCATTTCTTCTCCTCCTCGAGCTTCTAGTGCACTACGAGCTTATGATATTTTCTTAGGAAGAGTGGATTGTATTAGGGCAAGGCTCAGATGAGTGGTAGTTTGATGTGTTTAGGAAAAGGATGGAGGAGGATGGTGTGCCCTCTCAAGATAAGATAATAGTGCAAATGCAAATTCTAACATATGTGTGGGAAATGATTTGAATCAAATTTGTGTTGTGTGTGTAAAGAGTTTGGAAATGGGTGAATTTTGTTGTAGAGGAGCGGCAGTAGAAGTGATACTTTACTAACTTACAAAGTTATAATTGCATAAGTGAAATGCAAGGGGTTAATTAGACACAAAAAAAGTATTCAGTGATCATTGTTGATTAAGACATTCACTTATAATGTAATGCATTTTGAAGAAATTGTCTTTGTGTGTGTTTTTATTTTTATAGCTATATCATTTTATTTTATATTATGTTCATTTTTTCATAGCTATATTATATTTTTTATAAGATTTAAACCTTGTATTATTGAGATTAATAAAAGAATGGTTTAAAGACAAAACTTATAGCCAATTGGTGTAGTTTTAGAGAGTACATTTCCATTAAAAGAATATTAAACTAACAAAAAAATAAATTTTTATAAACCAATTAGAAATCACAAAATATAAGATGTATTCATAATACATATTAGAAGTAAATAAAATGATAAGAAGAAATAATTAAATATTTATTTTTGTTTAAAAAATGTTACATTTTTATATCTTTAAACAAACAAAAAAGACTAATTTTATTATATCTTACAAAATAAAATCTAACAACCATAATTAATTTTGAAGTTTAAATTTTATTGCATTAAGATGCTTGATATTATTCTACCTTCTACAAACAATTGACAACTAATATAAATAGTATAAATAATCGTTCATAGGTATCATTATTAGTTAATATTTATTTTTACTTTATATCTAAGAAAATTAGTAAATAGGTATTTTTCTTCTAATAACTATTTATGGTTAAGAAATATGATATTATTCAAAAACTATGTATTATATATTAAAATTAAAGTACCTTATTTAAAATGTAAGGCTATCATTACTAAAAAATGAAAATATTACTTGAAGTTATTGAATGTAATTTTCATTTTAATTACTATTTGTGCACATTGTAAGTTGTATTATCTTATAGACAAAGAGTTTGATAGTGTGATGATTCAATAAAGGTTTTTAATTATTGATTGATCATAAATTCACTTTAAAATAGATCAAATTTATATTTTGTCATTTTTTTTAATATTAAAATCTCTTTATAATCCTATATTAAAATCTCTCACTAAATCACAACAACCATCACTAACTCTATAATAAAATATGTCAATGACCTACATTAAGGTAGTTTGCAATAATATCTGGAATGTAAGTGATGCTTTATTGTATTAGCAACTATTCATTTAGTTCATTTTCTAATCACCAATATACTTGAAGTACTTTTTTATGCAACCAAAAATTACTTGAAGTACAATATAGAGCCATAGTAGCTAGATATTGTATTGCTTAAGGTTGTGTCAGCCCATTGTTTGTTCTAAATGAAAGTTGAACTAATTAAAAATGAATCTAGATTATGTAAAGATACATACATCAAAAATGTGATTTTTTTTTTTAATACCTTTCCATAAAGAAGTATATGCAAATACATACCAATAACAAATTTATCATAACAAGTCGTTATTATGGATATATTGTCACAAATATACATACTTATTCTAATATTTATGTATATGATTAGATAAAAGTAAGTAAAAGTAGATAAAAGTTGATTAATTTCATAATATCTTCTAAAGAAGTTTTCAAGAAGCTTCATAAATACGGTTTTGACTTTATATGTATTTATAATTGACTTTTGGTTTAGAATTATAGTCAACAAGTTAGCCATGTATCACATATGTGAGTAGCTTGTAGAGTAAGCTAATTATATGGCACACACATAAAAAACTTGCCTTGCAAGATAAAAACATGTGACTTATAAAGTCAACACATGTTGGAGGTCATATAGAATGTCACCATGTAGCTCCTAGGTGGATAATATATATAGAGGCAAGAATGAAACCTTCTTCATTCTTATTAACTCTTTTTTTTGTTCTAGTATAAATTCAAGAGTCTTTAGTTTTCTTATATTTTGGCAAGAGCCATTCTAGTTTCATTTTAATATACATGTTTCCTTACTTCTATTTTGTCAAACTTATTTTAGAAAAGTCTCAATTGGTAATTTTATCATACTTCTTTGAAAAAAGTTCATCAAATTCATAAGATTGAACAATGCTTATATCATATCTTTACAATTAGTTCAATCTTATCAATTTGATGAACTTGACATGTTCTAAGTTCATGAATATGTGTCAAACATCCATCTGATAGCAAAAGATCATGTCAAAAGCATCATGCCCCAAGAGAAGGGTGTTGCACCCCGAGCTTGTAACCTAACTTAGATGGACGCTTGGATAGACTCAAGGGTCTTAGTTCTCTAGTTATGTTTGTTTTGTACAATGCTATTATGTTGAGAGAGTAATGTTGCCTTAATATGGCGTTTTTAGATAAGAGAAGGTGCCTTGTGACAAGATGGCCTTACACTAGGTATCAATGTGGATTCACAAGTTGTTTAAAGTGCATACTTAACTAAGTTTGAAAATGCTTACTTATTTTTCAATTACCTAGGTTTTTTTGATATTGATATATTAACAAATCAACATAATGCCAATTAAATTTAGTGTATTTTGCATTTGATTGTTGATCTTATTGTTAGACTAGTCAATGATACCAATATTATTGTAGTGGTAAAAGGTGATTGCAATGAGACAAAAGACAATAAAGATCTCCAAATTATTCCAATGGTATTAGTCCAATTCTTTTTCATAGCCAACAACATTTTACTTAACTGCTCGAAGGCTTGTGTAATTGCTACTAATTGATGAAAATCAATGATCAAACATATCAAACAAGACCAATATGCCTTAATGACTGCTAAGATAAGGATGTATTCAAGCAATTGGTAATTGTGTACTAATTGGACACAACAAACTTTGCCAAGGAGTAAGCACTTGTAAATGGTTGCTTTCAAAGGCTATACAATTTTTGTAGAGGTCTCATATCTTTATTTTTCAATACTACCACCATTGAATTTGACATTTTTGTGATCATGTGGAAGAAGAATAAATATTATAAAAATCTCATTGATTTATTACTTATGAGGGTCTTATAGTTGAAGTAGTTTCACAAGCCTTGTTCTTTATGATTGAATGATAAACATGTGTTACAATTGTACACTTTTACAAGTCTAAGCCATGTGGTACCTTTCAATATGATACCTTCAATGAATAAAGTGTAGAACCTTTATGGTAGGAATGAAGATAAATATGGCAAGGTTCTATATATGTTTGAGGGCACATCATTAACATGTTTGTTCTCATTTGTAGTAGACATTTAGTGATATTGATTGGGATGGTGTTTGGCTGTATCAGTGATGGTCAGGGATGAGAGATTTGAGTAATATAATTGAACGTGTTAAGAGAATTCAATGGATAAGAAAAACAGGATTTGTTTTATCAGTTGGGCATCATTTTTTAAGGTTATTCATAATATTGTGTAACTTGGTTTTGGGGCGGAACAGAAATTTCATTCAAGACAAACAATCAGGCAAAAAGGTCTCCTGAGTGTTCAGTTACACTCACTCAGTTGTAATTGTCGATTGCAATACGAGGTAAATACAAGAAACCACAACAAATACAAACAGTATACATCCTAAATTATCAGTTCGGAAGAGACACAAGTTTAACGCATGCACAGGTTGCTATGAAGATTTGGATGATGATAATGAGCATAACCAGAACACCCGATGACTGCAAATTTGTAGGTCCGAGCGGAAATTATCCTGATCCAATGGAGGCCATCGCAGCTCCGTGTAATTTCAAAATCCCGAAACTGTACGTCTACTATGTACGAGTCAATGATTCGAATTTCCTAGTGAGGTAATGCGTGATACATCTGTGATTGGTTAACAATCAAGATCGTGAACTGCGTTACAAGAAACTAGTACTCAACGCAAGATCACGTAGATTTGATAGCACATGTGCTCGAGTGGTTCCTATTTGTCGAGCAATTTCGAGTTGCTCGTCAAGAGGCAGCATGTCATAACTGCAACACCGCGACAGCAAGAAGTCAGTTAAGAAGCGCAAGCTCCACAATGAAGGATCACAATGCGAGTGAACAATAATTCAAGAATATAGACACTCAACTGTATGCAGGTTTGATCAAGGTATCAGGGCATCAAGTACTAGCAACAAATAAAAGATGTGGTGCTTGTCTAGATTAGTTCATAACTTACTGACTCAGTAGCTCGCAGTCGACGATATTATCTGGCCCAGGTCTATGGGCTTTTCCATCACACCGAAACTGCCTGAATGCTCGTGGGTTCACTCCTGCAACATGAGATACACAGTCTACTAACTTCCTCTGCAACGTGTGCAGTCTTCGAAATGTCAATTCGTCAAGTGGCGCTAAGTAGTCGATAGCCCCATCAAGAGTGCCGAAGAGAACAGCGTATCTATTTGATCGAGCACTGCCAGGGGTAGGAAGCATCTGTAGGCGGTGGAACTTGTTAACGTGAGCGCCCAGATGGAACTCAGCTCTGGAAAGTAACTTCTGCCCCTTCCAACTCTCCATACTTTTGGGGGCATACGAGAATATCTGTTGGATTTTACATCAGTTCAAGGATATGAGATTTATTTCTTAGTGCCCAGCACATAGTGAGCAGAGATTTGTACACAAACCAAACGGTCTTAACTACTCACGAAGACATAGAAACGAGCATAGTGAGATTGAATGACATGCCAGTAGTTAGTAAATGTAATATATAAGCAAGAGTTAAAGCCCTTTTCTTTTCTATTCTTTTTACTTATTTTACAAACATAGTGACAAAGTAGAATCAATACATACCTGCAAGTTTTTCCGGCTATCTGACACTAGGAGACTGAGCGTGCTTCCATCAATGAGAAACTCTGTTGCGTAGCAATCTAATGAACCGAAATCTTTTGCCAGCAGAGTGAGCTGTGCACCATCCTCTTTCCAACATAAGAAGTAAATGCTCTTATGTATATCTCCAAATAAAATGAAGTTTTTCACCTGGGCAATTAAACAAGACCCATATGTGAGTAAAATATCCAAGATTTTTCACACCTTCCACGTCTGAAAGCCTGTAAAGTATACGTAAAGAAGGGAAACAAGGCTGATAGTTAAACTTCCACGTATACTCTAAAAGGAATATGGAGTGATTTGAGCTGCAGACACTTACTATGTTGAGGCTAACAACATACAAGGGAGCATCAAAGAAGGCAGCACCATTCAGCTCAGACCCGTTCCAAGAGTGCAAAATAATTTTAGGACCGATCGCAATTAACAGATGTCCTTGAAGTGATGCAATTGCAGAGATGGAGCCCTTAAGCTCCTTCGAGTATACCTCCCTGGCCTGAACACATGACATCATGCTATGGAAATTCAGACAAAAAAATCCAGCATTCCTGCAGCTGATTGAAAGAAAACATCGCAAAATATCGTTAAGGGTAAAATCAAGCTACAAAACTTGACATTCAGAAAAGAGAATATGAAAACGAAGCACTACTTTTTATCACAGGAGATTTTACAAACTATGTGATGGAATGTCCACTTAATTACACATGAGAAATGCAAATCTACACATAGCATGGCGAATTTTCAAGATGATAGAAATACATACCCATGAGCCAGGGTCTTGAGGATCCTTCCCAACAGAGACAAGTATAATCCGACCTTTTGCAGCAACATCCTCCCCTTGTACATACGATGTACCAATAGCAAGTAAGGTCTGTGTCTGATCTGTTGTGATGTTCTGCGACATCCCAAACAATTAATAAGACACTGCAAATGATTGATATTAATTCAAACGCCTCAATTAGAGCACCTCAAAAATTATGGAGCTTGAAAGAATCTCCAGATCTTTGTGAATGAAGAGAATGGACGTAATCAAGCGTTATTATATTGGGGGCTCCTCCAGATCGCAGGAACCATGAACAATATGAAGAGTAAGGGCATCAATATCTTTATAATCCATGATTCAAAAAAAATAGATGAAACATACCTTAATACTAACAATGCGAACAGTCAATGCATTCTCAGTCAGATGCATTTTGATGGCGGCCTTAGCTTCCCAATTACCACCTGGTTGGGCTGGTTCGATAATTCGGACCTCATAATCCTCAGATGTCACAAGTCTCTGACCATCCTCTCCTATAGAATTCTCTTGTTGCTGGTCAAAGGGGTGACCATCGCCCATGAGCACTTGAGATGTTGGCCGTGATACCTGTAAAATATGCGAGCCGTTACCAATTCGTGCCTAGTAAAATTTAGAATACTTAGCAAATGATACGTCTAATTTGCACTTGCTTGGAGGGAAAACAATGTCACTTACAGGTGTGGAGATAATAAGGGCATACAAATTGACATCTGAATGATATGTTATCTGGTGAGGAGTACCACGGAGCGGGATCTGCAAACAAACAACTATATCGAATAAGACTAAAGAAGAATAAAAACATCATCAACCATAAGCTGATATCACTACAGTGAGATACGCAACCAGAATTTCCATCCACCGTAACAATTAAATAATCAAACGAAATGAAACCAAATACACTGCCACAACCCACGTGACCAAGGAATGGTTACATATACAGAGGGCATACTCAAGTCAACATAGACAAGTTTCTCGATCAATGATATTTGCACATTGTCATTGTCACGATTCTTGCAGGCTTTTACTATCATCATAATGATGAATGCACACTAGCAGGTTTCCACAAAACTAATCCGTGTAAGACGTATTCAATTTCACATGGTTGATAGAACATACCTTCTGAACTGGCCAATCATTGTCGTAGAAGAGAAGTGACGGTAGTTGGCAAATTTTCAATTGACCCTGTGTAAGCAGGCAACATACTAATATTAGAAATTGATAACGAGAATCTAGTGTCGCAAAATATCCGAATTCATGTGATAATAAGTCTGCCACTGTAGTTATCACTTGCATTTTAGGATGAGCAGGCCGATTAAAATTGAAGGATAGAAATATGTCCGCACTGATATTAAAAAGGGAATTGTTCAGTACACCAGAACTGCCTCATAGAAACTATTACCTTTGTTCGCCAACACAAATAATTACCTGAGCTGTAATGTAAATAAAACCATGAGCACAATTGACGTTGTGCAAAGGCGTAAAACCCAATATTGCTCCGTCACAAAACTGCCGGTACACAATACGCAACAAAATTCAGAATACACTCCAGGAGTGAAGTGAACATACTCACATCAAAGCTACAAAGGAATGTCATTTTCACTCAAGGCCTAAAAATTACAATTCATGCAGAATGTAGTTTCAGTGTACCTGAGGGTGAGGACGTAATCTTCCTCTACAGACCATTAGCCATGTTGGCCTTAGTCCTGTCACAAAGACGCCCGGAAAGGATCCTACATTCTTAAAAGAGCAAAATTTTGTTTCGTACAGCACTTTGGCACCATCCTCTTGCCCACTTACCCAGTCAATCGGTATACGTGCAAACCTCAAGTGTGTAAGCCGTGACAAATCCTTAAGACTTGTGGCGGTCTCTCTGAATTCCAGTGCATCACTAGATTCATTGGCGTCATATGAAAAGGCATGATAGCAAAGCATAGTCCCATCTGAAAGAGTTGCAAGTAGGAAAGGGCGTCCAAACTTTTCCCCCCAACTTTCGAAGCAAATCTGAGAGACGTGTAAACTCAAACCAGCATCTCGTAACAGAGCATCCCCGGGTGCTTTGTCTTCTTCTGCACCTTCTTTCAAAGCTGCGTTACTATTCGCTCGTCTTTCAAGGACTTTCTGATCCCAGAGAACGGACATTCCATGGTTGAAATTATCAACAGCATACACACAAACCATACGAGGCAGCTCATATATTTCAAATCTGCCGCTGATCCGACAGACGATGCAGTATACATATCCCTGCAAAAAAAATCCAAGTGCAGTCATAACTCATAAATTCTTATTCTATAAGTACATGCGAAGAGCGAATTAAACTATTGTTCTAAAATTATTCGAGAGTAAATAACTGGTATTAATTTTAGTGTAAAAGACCATTTGAGAAACCCAAAGCCTCATCCTTACCAACCAAGAACAATACCTGATCAGATGTGGAAGACCACTGACTTCTGTCCGAATTCATCTCGCTGCATGTGCGTCGCAACCATTGGTGCGGGCCTTTATCTTGGTAAAGCGTAAAAGCTGTAATTGCGTCCGTTGTTATACCAAAGCCTTGAGGCTGAGGGATAGAAAGCTTAGTGTTCTCAACATCTATTAATAATCAAAGATGACACAGTAAATTCAGCATATAAGTTTCAAATTCATTTTCATCTCATCAAAAATGAATACAGAACAGTTGAAATATGCACAATGGAGCATGAAAAGTGCATTCATCACTGTCCTAGAGGAGCAATTAGACATGATATAAAAGTAGAAACCCTTGAAGTATAGAGATTTTATTCAAAGGAACAATATACAAACCTCCAACAACCAGTTGTAAACTGCCATCTGTCATCTTAAGTAGCATATATGGATCAGCAATAACCGCCTCAATAACTAAATTATTTGCCACTTCTGAAGAATTATTCTCGAGTTCAGAATTTGTAATCAGCAGCTCCTGCAACATTTTTGCTCCATCAAGAAGCCGCAGACCGTTTTGATACACTTGAACCACAAAACGCCTGCGTGCACGTAACTGATGAGCCATAAATCTTGAGGCCAAATTCATCACTAACATCAAGCTCCTCACATCCAACCAGTACCAGCAGAGTCATAGAAAGGAGATTACTGAAAAAGGAAGCCAAAGAACAGTTTAGTAACAACAAACATATCCATATTGACGATGAACTTCACGAATTCAAACCGTACCTGCCAAACAAGTTGCCAGCAGCAATGGTGTTCCCCTCAGTGTAATATTCCACATTCTCAGTCACTTCTCCTAAAGTATCTCCTGTTTCAAGAACCTGCAACCAGTAAGTCAGTTGCTGCAAAGAAATGGGTACACATAATAAATATTGACAAGCTTGAGAGCTATAATCAATTTCACATGATTCGGAGCGTCAAAGTAGTGCATCGTTACTAAATTGAAAATTTATATAAGTTCAACTTGGTTTGATGGCGTTACCCTGGAAAAACCAAAATAGAAAAAACAAAATCACTGGCATACATTTGAACGCCATCTAGCAAACCGAATTTAGAACACCTAATACCAGGAAAACTGTCTAAATATTTTCCTTGATAGCAGAACACACCATAGTTCGTGATTCCAAGCTGATGATAAGATATGCATGAAATTCATCATCTTCACTGGTACCAAAATCAAACTCATTTGAGTCATCTCTGTCTGTTTTATGATATACAGTCCAGATCCCAGAGCATCCTGGTAGCGCTACCTGGCACACGTCAACAGAGTATTATTACACCAATTTGCAACTTGAATATTAAAACTCTTGACCAAAGTTCCTCTTACGCACTAAGGAGCCTACAAAGCTATGCTTTCGAATGCTGGTAAGTCAAAATACAAAACTCACCTTGTTAATGAGGTCTGGTCGAATTGACTGATGCAAAACAGACAAACTTCCATTCTTTCCGTGGCCAGAGCATGCAACCTAACAAATCATCAAATAAGATTGCATGGCACGATGATTTTCCAAGCAAAATCAAACACTCATTTAACAAGCCTAACTATTTTAACTGGAAGTTCAAATAACATAATGCAAGAATAAAAGTTCGGCCCACACACCAGTTCATAATTACTCTGCTTGCCAAGACCAGTAGCGCTTTGATCTGCGTTTGAGCGCAGCCCATACGCAAAATCTCTCAAGGGACAAATATTTACCAACGAATCTCGGACTGTAAATGTGAATGTTTTCTTCTGTGTTATGAAACAAAAACACAGAAAACATGACATAAGCGCAAACACGAACATAAGTACAAATGTGCCAGAGGACCTTACGATTCCTAAAGAAACTGACTTGTCAAAAACAGCTGCATATTTTTCATTAGAAAAACCTACCAATTTAGTGCAATTCAAACTCACCCATCAAAATCCCAAGCAACAAACGTCAATGATGGTCTAGAAGAGTTACCGACTACAACCCACACAAAGAACCATGTTCCAGAATCATTAGCAAACAAAATGCTAGAAACACATTCTACATGTGTATTCTCTGTCGAGTGTACCTGGGAAATATCAGATGCGGTCGGTGTAGAATAGTATAAAGACATTTCTTCGGCACTTACTCCCTCTTCTTCTTCGGAAGGTTCCCGTTTCAACCGCTTAGCAGCTGGAGCAGAAAGATCTGCCTCGATATCACCCTAACAGATGACAAAGAAACCAGCTAATCATGCAGCATATGTAAAATATAAAGAACACAATATTTGAATTATTAGTGCCATTAAAGCAGGGTTAGCGAGACCTAAATGCCGCCTAGCGGCACACAAGGAACCCCAGCCAAAAGCAAGTATTTTCTGGAATCCACTGAAAACTACTTTAATAACTGGAATGCCAGCTGTAAATTTATAATTAGATACCAGTGACACATGCTTTTACAGCATTCTGTTAATTTACAGAACCCGTCTATGGATGTTGCAACTCTTCGGATTGTAAACAAGCATTTAGATAATCGAACATCGAATCCTATGCAAACCCATCCCATGAAGTGCTTGGGAGAAAGAATACTGCACGGCAATGGAATCAAGACATATCATACGTGTCAGTATTCTAAGTATTTCAAGCAAAAAAGAAACACAAGCTAAGGCAAGCAGAATAATCACCTCCTCTCTCTCTGCTTTCACCATCAAGCTTGAAGTCCGTCCTGATGCACTCCCTAAAGTATGTTGAACAAGAAGACTATCTGCAAGCCGACTTCCAAGAAAAAAAAAGTTCTCTCCAATGGTGCACATGCACTGCAAGCAATGTCAATAAAAAAAACTTCTTAGACCCTCGTCCTTCTTCCAAATTTACATAACTCCGATATGATACTCAATGATCAAACAAGCAGAGAAAGAGGTAGAAACATACTGAAGTCAGAACAGAGGCCTTGGACTTCGTAAGTTCTAGTCTTTGTACAGACCTGCAAGGTGACGAAAATTAGCACCCGTAAAAAATAAATGCAACAAGTGTCAGATAACAATGTACAAAAAAAATTTGGAGGCAAGAGGCTGACCTTCCTTCATAAACGAGATTAAGAAATAGCAACATGCCATTTTTAGTCGATATCAAGGCAACTTCATTGGCTACCCATGTGGCGTGAGCACAATCAAGTTCCACTGACATTTTGGATCTTGGATATTCGGCACTGTAGCGAAAATACGCGAAGTTCAGTATACTGCATATTCAGCTCTAAGAAACAGAACAGGTGCTTGAGAGGACTTTCCACGCCCTCTCTCTTGTAAGACTTCATATAGGCTTGTAATGCTCTCTCTCTGTCTCTCAAAGACGATTACATTCTAAATACTCACCTTCCTTCGGGTGCCACAGCAAATTCATTCAAGCCCAGAGCACAGCTACCTGACTGAATCAGCAAAAAAACAAGGGTAATCCAACTTAGAGATTATTCAATTGTACAGAAGTCATTATGTAGCAAGGTGGCGAATTAATATTCAACACCAACGACAGCTCGTAAAAGATGCATGGTATGCTCAGCAGATGTTCAGTGATAATTCAATGATTCATTACGACATTCATCACTGCTCCTATAAACCTTACATACGTTCAAGTTTAAGAAATAAGAAGGTATTATTACATTCATGAAGCTTTATACGTAAAACACTAACGCAAATTTAATCAATTAGAAAAGCATGTGAGTGATGAAAGAATGGTCATTAAGGATAAAACAACCATACCTGGCTATGGTAGTGCAAGGAGTTGGCGCAAAAAACTAAAACTCCACCAATAGGTGCTGGAACTGCTAGAAGCTTATATGCATCATATGGAAGATTCTGCATGCGATTAGATTGCACATTAGACGAGCCGAATAGTGATATCTCAGGAAGAGTCAGCATCCATATGATGTATCCTAACAATGAAATATCAACATTAATCATAGAAGATATTCTGAAGCACAAAAATATGACATGGCGAACTTGCGACTACGTTATGACTAAACAAAAACAAATAATCGCAATAGTCTCGGGAGGAAATGCAAAACAAATATTATTGGTACTAATCGCAAAATAATCTCTGTATCACCATAGAAAAAGCTTTGAAGTAATCTTCTTTCATCTCTCGCCAGTGAACATTTCGGGAGAAGAAATGGGGGGCGGGGTGATTAAATTATATGAAAAAAAAGAAGTGCAGGGTAGGTTCATACATACAGTGGCAGACCAGATGTGAGGATGCTGCTTTAATGTTGTATTGATGCTGAGAGCAGTAATTGCACAAGTGTGGCGCCTAACTGCCACACGACCAGCCCATGTGGGATCCTTCTCATGTAAAACCACTAAGACTGGTTCAATATAACCTGGAAGACACGACAGAATTTTTAAATTGTCAGAACTTTCTTTCTGATCCACACCAAAGAAATGAACAACATGAATTATTAGATCAAGCTATTACGATACCGACTTACGTAATCCTACATATTTGTCAAAATACATCTTTTACAACTACCTGACTTGAAAATGCAAAAATGTACTGAATAAGGAAAAGTAGCTTGCCATGAAGAAACACGAAGTCTTTGATGTGTTTCATATCCAAGTCCCGCAAGCTCACAATATATGAAGTCGCAACATGGGCACAGAGCTTGCCACCCATGATTAGACTTTCATCCTCATCTCCCAATCCGTAACCTACCTGAAACATGTCGAAAAAATACTAAAGCTTCAACCTCTAGAAACAACATGTCAACACAAATCTACTCCATTTCTCTGGAACAGATTCCGTCTTATAGATCACATTGATACAACACTATATACGGCATCCTGGCAAAAACCACTTTAGAGGTGAGGGTTTTAAAATAATTTAAAAGCTCTAGCCCTATGCAGCTCGAATACATACACGAATGTAATACGTTTCTTAGCACGAAATACGTACAGCGAATTAACCGTCAACAGAAAAGTTCAATACATTCTTGCACATTTCAAAATCAGCTAAGCAGAACAAGCTCAAATTAACAACTTAAGGGAGCGAAAAAAAACCTGTGCAGCTTTCAGAAGGACCAGCTGAGAGTTGTATATCAAGACACCAGCACAACGGCCTACAGGATCAGCTCGAACAGAGGGGCCGCTTGCAAATTGCTCTCGACCCCGTTTCAGATACTGCCACTCTGGGCCCTCGAAGTAATGAAGTGAACTGCCATCATCTTCCAGAGTAAGTCAAAGTGACGCAAAGACGCATCCAGTCAAACTGAAGGTTCTTCGTCAGTTCAATCACGACCAGTGAGAATTATCACCAGGATTGCCATGTATAATCTTACGATAACAAATTCAGAAGTAGTCTACTCGGATCCAATTCGAGAAACGATATTTCAAATCATTTCAATAATTTATAATAATTGTTGCAGGGACGAACTCTACAATTTATGTGTATACTAGCGCTGTTCAAAACTTCAAGAGGGTGGTTGATGCCCACCATAAACGGAGAACTTTCGTGTACTCGTGCATGAAATGCAACTTAGGAACCTCATAACAAAACCTCGGCAACTTGAATGCACATAACACATTTGCCACTAGGAGCTTAATTATTACCCAATGCGAAGTCCATGAGTAGAGTCATCAAACTCCAACACTGAAATCTTTGCATCACGAAAAGTTAAGATGATCGCATCTCGGCCCTTCCGTCCTTCGGCATGTCTGTATGATAGTACCCCCAAGCTCTCCACATTACCATGCAGCCTGTTGACATGAGAAGCATAACATGAATACTGATGGTGGATTTCCATGAGCCTAATTGGAAAAAATGCAGATAAATCAGCACACCTTATGTAATGACAGCCCTTCTTTACTTTGGAATTTTAAAGCAATTAACTAACCAAAGGAACGGGGTAAAAGAGGATCTATTAAAGATATAATTTTACTTAACAAGGTAAAAAGCTTATATCCCAGCATATGTTCGAAACTACAGACCACAGAAAATAGATTCAATCACTTCAAATGATCCAACACCTCTAAAACCTTATTGATTCATACACAAGAGGCAATGGCAACTGCTAAAAACAAGTTCAGATGTTCAACGACATTGATATAACAAATAAATGTGGTAACCCCATGGTAATGACACAAGTGCTAACTACTTCAATGCCTTGCCACGTAAAATATATTTACGTAATAAATCACATAAACCCCGTCCAACACATTGTTTTTGCATTCGCCTAAAACACCGAATCTGTACGGTGTGACCACAAGAGAGCGCTCATATTGTACATTGAACGATTTTAAAGATGGACGAAGCCAAACCTGTAGTGACAGGCGAGTTCAAGCTTGACATAAGACAGGCCAGCCATGAGACCACCCCTCGGCGTCGTTTCTGGATTCCCAACGCCATTGCTACCGTTCGCGGCGCTGTCATCTCCTTCCAACAATCGCACATGAAAAACTTCAAGCACATTTGCCTTGGTAATGACTAAGTTGGGAGGAAAACCGCTCCCACCTGAGGCATCTTTAGGAGTGCTTGCCCAGTAACCACCAGAGGCAATCAAATCAGCGCCGGGGAGGGGAATGGAATCCGAGTCTGTCTCCCCTGCGCTGTGCGTCACGTAAGCTGCAACACAATTATCCACGCCCGTCGGGCAGTGCACCATCTTAAAGGCGGCATAACTCATCTCTGTTGCACACCACGACAGATCATCACCAAATCTAAAACCACATCAATGTCCTTCTTGCAGCAATTCACAATTCTATCCTAGAAGTCCGCCACTTAAAATAAGCAAAATTTACAAGCACCAACCAAGTTTAAAATGTCAAATACCGAAAAAAAAAAAGACACGCACACGCACACAAAAATTTATAACAAAATTCACTAAACCCAAAATAGGAAAAAAATACACATTAAACAGCACCGACATAGCAAATTAATGCATAAATACTTGATTGGCCCGACACATAACAACCACAACTGAAGACTCTGAGGGCTTGAAAGAGACGAAAGCAACAAAAAAACAAAACACTCGACTCAGAACCAAATCGTTATTGTCGCGGCACCAAAAAAGCACCAAAAAAGCGCCAAAAATTTTAAATTCTGAGATAGGAAGGAAAATTGACACACCTTCAATCCACCAAAGCTAAAGGACGTGAATGTGTCGATTGCGCGGGCGATCCGAGTTGAGGCTCCAGAGGCCTCACACACCGAAACCTGGGACTAACAGAGGGGCCTCGTTTTCGAAGACGGAATACAGCACTGGCGGGTCAAGCCCACGCGGTGATAGGTCCCCTCCCTTGTTATACCTAGCACCCCCATCAGCGGGCTCCGGTCTCCGACACCATCCGCGTTCACACATCTTGGGGAATCTAAAACTTTTGTAGTCTCTTTAAACCTGACTTGAGTTTGAAATACACTGAATTCTGAGAATTTCTATCAATATTTACTCATAGGATTTGATGCTCGAAGTTCAAATAATTAACAGTCAATTAATAAGGAAAAATAATTAGCATCATATCTTGTTGATGTAGAATAGTTTGGTGCACTTCGATACTTTACTTCGCTTGTGAATTAAACTAGGATGTCTATGTTTGAATGTTATGTGCTTCCACTCAGATTCTATTGTAGTGAAAATTATAGAGGTGGTGAATGAATGTAAACACTAATACATAGTTGGTGAACAGTGTAATGATATTTCCTCATGTGGGAATAATCTTAATTTCCGAAATCTGAGGCGTAATTTTGTTTTCAGATCAAACTCTTAGTAGGGTTGTTTTTTAAATATTACAGGTTAACATTTTCCCATTAATTTTATTGAATAAAATCATTTTCATAATTTTACATGCCAAGCACATTGGGAGTTTCAAATATGATTGAATAGATGAAAAATAATATTTCTTACATGTTTTTGAAAATATCATTATTGCGTAGAAATGTCATTCTTTAAATTAATCCATTATAATGTATAATGAATTGCACTTTTGTTACATTTATAATCTTGATAGAAATTTGAACCTGTATACCATTATACATTCAATAAAAATCAATACATAACTAATTATAACATTCTGTCATTAGAATGGTGAGTTACTAATCTGTAAATGTTTATCAATGAAATGCTAATGACAATAAAATAGCATTTGTTTATGCTTATACTAAGAAAAGCACACTGGATAAGTTAAATTTATGTTTAGTTCTAATAATAGTTCCATACTTTAATGATATTCGTCTATGTATTCTATATGCATTTGATCATTCAAGTGTACCTCAAGCTAATTATAAAATTTATTTTTTCTAAATACATAAACTGTTTTCTCATATAATTTAACGTATCTACAGCAATCAAAAAATTATAAAATCTCATTTCAATAAAAACAGAAACAAAAATAAAATAAAATAACAATTATAAAATAAATGATTAGAAAAGACAATTCTATGTTATTTTCAAATAAAAATCAGTAACAAACATGTGTATATATATATATATATATATATGATTTCACACACAATTCTTTAAATATAATTTTAGATTTTCTTTAATCATTTAAGATTAAGTAAGGACATTGTAAATGCATAGATAAAAAAATAATACATGATATGGATATGAAAAATTGCACATACATTTCAATAACATATTGCTGGCCTCTTTAAAATTTTGCTCTTACATTATTGTATTCCTCCTACAACAAAATTTTGCAATCTTGAAATAATTATCAAATTCAAATAAAATCCAACCATTTCAACATAATAGAAACACACTAGAAACATGTATTTTTTCATTCTTAAAATTAGATTAATACACGCTGATTATAAATTCATCATGCACATTGCCATTCTTCGAATCTATTATTCAAATCCTTTGTGGCAACACTCTATATGGCATGCAGGATTAATTGATTTGATTTGATTTTATTTTTTCAGTCCATTTTTCTTTTATTATTCAGAAAAGCTGGGTGCAATTTCTTAACGTGCAAATAGTTTAATATTTGAACCTTATTAAGAACATTTGTCTATTTATACTTACTAGCATTAATTTAAATGTTCCAAAAGTTTAAAGCTGTAATATATATATATATATATATATATATACACAATTGGTTACTTGTAGGACATTTGCCCCTGACATTTGATTAAATAAGTTAAATTTCTATGTCTTTTTATCTTTTGTAAATTCTCCAATATTTCAAATAAAATTTGTCATCAGATTCTACTGACCAAAGTGTTGCATGTTGTTTTTCTTGTTGCTAAATAATCTAGTGCATCTCGAGTATTGTTACTGTTAAAGGTCCTTGACTGTATTTCAAGATTATTTTGTTGTTGTGAAATTATTTTTACAGTGACTAAAAACTTAGCACGATTGTAAACTCATTCACAAATTGATAGAGACATGACATTCACTACCAAGCTTGATTCAATATTTTTAAGGAAACAAATTTGGATATATACTTCCTAAGTTTATCCTCTATTGTCCCAACTCAAATGGTGGATACAATAATTTACAATAATAGTATATGGTTGATGCATTTCTATCTTTTTAAGTATTGAAACTGATGCTCCGATACACTGTGATTAAGAATTATTTATTAAGTATTTGTAAACCAAAGCAAATAAGACTTTGAAAAAATTAACTAAATTATATACACATGAATTATGTTATGTTATATAATAAATTTATGAACAAAACATTGTTGTATAATAAACATATAAATTGTATAGAATGTTAGAAGTTTTGGTTGCATATAAATAATGGAATGTATACATTTATTATTAATATTAATATTAATATTATTTTAAAAGCAAACAATAGTTAGATATCAATCTAAAAGTGGATACTGATTTGGATAATATACAACATATTTTTAGTTTTTCTATATTTGCAACTAAGGTAGCAACAGAATGGGGGAAAGAGAGTGATTATATGGCACAAAACAACGTGTGAGACTTGTAGTCATTGACTCATGGTAGTTCTTCAATTGCTAGTTGCATTCTTTGTTCTTCTTTCATGATAAAACCCATAATGTTTTTCCCGTATAAGTCACATAGTTGTATATCATCCTGTCAATCATGTTCATGTTATTTTGTAATGAAGTATTATATTTATTTTGATCACAATCTATGACTTTTGAAGGATTATCTATTTTTCCAACAATTATTGTCCTTATCTTGAGGAATTTACATATCAATGCTTCAGAAATTTCCACTGATTAAAGTATTAATTTTCATTTTTATAATTTAGTAGCAATTTCCTGATATATAGGTATGGAACAAAGAAGAATTTTTTTTAATAAGAGTGTATTAGTAAGAGGGAGATTTTATAGGATTTTATTCTTACATTTATGATTTTTTTTTTATTTTTTATTTTTTGATGGACATGAAAAACAATATCAAATTAAAAAAATAATGTTTTCAAAAAAGAAATGAAGGGTGGGATTCATCATCAAAGCCAAAGGATGTATGAATATGAATATAAATATATATATATATATATATATATTTATCCCAAGTAAAGAACACGTACCACAACAACAAGTAAGAGAGTACCAAGATTGCAATGGAGAAAGAGAGAGAAGGGGGGCCATCATGGAGGGAGGGAGAGTGAGCATGCCAAACCATGCCAAAGCAGATGCTCAACACAAGGACTGTATGAAGAAGGGAGGAGGCAAGGGGAAGCAAAGGACAAAAGGAAAGGCAAGGGGAAGCAAAGGAAAAAGGAAAGGCAAGGGGAAGCAAAGGAAAAAGGAAAGGCAAGGGGAAGCAAAGGACAAAAGGAAAGGCAAGGAAAAGGGAAGGAAAAAGGAAAGGCAAGGAAAAGGGAAGGAAAAAGGAAAGGCAAGGGAGGGAAAGGAAGGGGGAAGGGGAGGGGGGGTATTAAATTTGAAGGCCCCACAGCATCCGGAGCCCGGAAGGAACCCAGCCCGGGAGAGGGAGAGGGAGGGAGCGCGAGCTCAATCGATCGAGGCACTCCGATCGGATCCACGCCATTGGCCACTCCCAGATCACCGTCATCACTGACTCATCATCCGAGAAACAGAGAGAAAGAGAAAGAGAGAAAGGGGGGGGGGGAGGTGAAACCCGGGCTCCTTGCTTCCCTCCAAACCCTAGGCGCGAACAGGACTTCCTTCACCTCCAGCCAACCGGGTTCCCCGCAGGTTGCCAGGGAACCCTAGCCTGGGATCGCGTCACCCGGATTCGCATGACGACGGGCCGGGCAGGGCGGCCCGCGCCCAGCGCGGTGCGTGGATGAGTGGGCAGCTCGTGAATGCGGGGGGAAGGGGGCACATTCCAGGGCTCCAGGAAGGAGAAGAGGGAGCGGAACTGAGTTCATCGCCACGGAGAACGACGATTCGAGAGCAGTGGTATTACCGATGGCGTTGTGTGAATTCTCGTCGCGGCAGTGTAATGGGAACATTTCTAGGATTTTCTTAGAGTGGGGCGGGGAGGTGTGAGGGTGGATTGTGCTGGGGTGGGAGGTCGAGGAACGCGAGCAATTTTGGGAGCGTAGGGTTTTGACTCCTGGCCACTGAGGTGAGTGCGTCGCGCTCTTTGTTACGGTGGTGTGAAGTGTAAGTGCAGGCGTTTGATTTTTATTAGGCAGGTTTGAGGTTTTGGTGAATTCCTCTTGAGAAGTGTGGCTTCTAAGCGAAGCGGATGCCGAAGTTTAGATTTCTCCTGGGTATTGTTGCTTGAATGGACCTCCTCGGCTAAAATCTGAGACCCTGAGGGCATGCTTTTAGGTTTATTATGGCAAATGGTAGCTTAGAGTGCAGTCTCAAGTGATCGGGCGCTGGCTTTAATTGTTGGCATTTAGTTGTCGTGGTTGAATCCGGACAAATTGGGAACTAGTGTTTTGGTGAGCGGGAGATGAGGATGAGTGAACGCTTCGGCACCTTATGTGAAGCGGCTGGAACTGAAGTGAACAGGATAGCTTTTAAGGTTTGTCCTATCAGTTGAGAGAGCGCTGTTGAGAGTTGCAGACAATCAGATTTGGTGGAGGAGATGATTGGTGAGAGAGGATGGTTCGTGGCATGAGAAGAGTCATGGTGTGGGAAATTAGTTGTAGGAGCTTCGGCTTGGGAATTCTATCGGGCCTTGTATTATGTCATTGAGTGACTATGGCCGAGATGGCACCAAACAGCGACGAGGTGTGCGTGTGTTAAAGCGCTATGAAAGATTGGGATTTTCGGTACGATTCGACTCTAGTTTAAGACTTTAGAACCAGTCTAAGACCTAGACAAGCCTCTCAGACCTCAACCTGACAGGACAAAGATTTCGGGAGCTTGCAGTGAAACGAATAGATTTCGCACGGTTTATAACCCTGAAATCTGTTTACTTAATTATTTATTTTGGTTGGTATGTTCATTTGTTTGTTTTTTTGACAAAGGTGGGATATGTTGTAGAAGGTTTTTACAGTTAGATATATACCTGCAACTGGGTGGATGAATTTTGAAGGTTGTGTTATGTTTGCAACGAAGGCGAAAACTTGCTCGAATTTAGTATCTGGTAGAAGAATGCATCGCGAAGATATTTCACAACGTCCTCTCCTCTGAACAGCCGTAGCAAAGATCCCTGGTGAATGCGTGCTTATGATTGACGTCATGCCTGGTGTGGAAGAAAATACTTCAGGATGCGAGACTCTACTTTGTGCAACCCTATTAGTAACCTCAATATTTCATACCTGGTAGGTCCGAATTTGGAGAGGGTGGATTACAATTCGGGCTTCTATATTCATGTTTGCAGCATTTGCTATTAAAGCTTCAGTATGTGAGCATACTCATGGTGATTTAGTGGTCCCATGGGACCTCAAACAGGCAGTATTCACGATTTTTTGTTTTTTGTTTTTCTTTTTTTTGTTTGTTTGTTTGCTCGTTTTTTTTGTTTTTGTTTTTGTTTTTGTTTTTTTTTTTGTTTTCGTGTTTGTTTTTGTTTTTGTTTTTTGACTTCTTTTTGGAAAGCCACGCTGCGATTCTTTTCTCAGGATTGTTACCCGGAATAACAAAACGCATCTTGATTTTAGGCAGGAGCTAGTATGTTGCAAGGAAATGCAGAAGTGAGAAAAGAGATGACTGCAGCAATAGTTTGGATTATAGAAATTTTGTCTGATTCCACCTTTCTTGATTTTAGGTTTACTACCGACACCTTTAAAAAAAAAATATGCTTTTCACGCGCTATTCAAACTTCCGCACAGTTTGGATATGATTAAACTTGCTGGGTCACTTGCCAGGGCCGAGTTGTCTACGAGAGCCTTCCACGAATATCTTACAAAGAAGTTCATAAGGTCCATCTGTCATGCAGTATGACATATTTCAGTGACGGCTAGTGGCAACTTGGTTTTACAGGAACGATGAGATCGACACATCCGAGATATGCTAGGAGGCTTTTGGAGGGTTTTTTAATATTATGTAAGTCAGTTCTGTTCCATGATCACTTCAAGCTTTGTTACTTTCTAAGTAGTAGCATCTATGAGTTGTGGACAATCTTTCATGTTTTATCTTCATAGTTTCTCTTTGAAACTTTTTAGGTTCTTGCGGGTTGAGACTACGATAGAACAAGCAAGTATTACCATTATTCTTGTGTATGATTAAAGGATGTTAAACGATACACTTATGATATGCGTTTGGTTCTGGAATGTGTTCTATTATTTCAAGTGTATGCAATCTGCACAGTCATGCGTAAAAAGCGAGGAACTACGCTCCGTAGTATTTTTTCTATTTTGAAGCTGCGAAGTGCCAAAGCCTATGATGTGTTGTAAACTTTCTCTTGTCGTATAATGTGTGAAGAGTTCTTGAATTGTTCTTTCTGTGTATAATTCCTAATCCAACGTTTGATTCTTCTTAGATTCGATATGACGAAGTTATAGTTCCTAAACTATTGGACTTTGCTATGGATAAAGAAGTCAAGGAGGTCTCACAGCCTCAAGTTTTTCCAGTGAGAGAAGGAAAAATGGAAGCAGGCTTGCATTGTATGTCCCCGTTGGCTCAGCGAGCACTTTGTCATGAGCCTTCGTGTGACAGAATGCAATTGCCTGCTACAATTCATTCTGTCATGGCTGAGGCGACAAATGATGTAAGTATTTTGGAAGCTGTGAAATGCAACGGAATCTTATCGGTGGTTTAGAAACCCTGATTTCTTTACATAGCTTTTTGATCATTAGCTGACTCTACCACTACAACCGTGCGTTTGAAATATTCTGTTTAATTTTCGCGGCTCATTGCGCTATTTTTGTATCGGTTCGAAGTGTTGATGGACGACTGTTGGTTTGCTGTGTTCTTTTCTGTGTCTTTTGGGATTTGTAGACAGGAGAACGGATCAGTAGGGTGAGATCGGGACCTTTTTCAAGTTCAGTGCAGCCCAAGTCTGCAAACTTAATTAGGTGAGTATACGTTGGTCAGTGCGAGAATAAGACTGAGTTATTGTCGTGACTGCAACGTGAATGGTGCAATGTCACGTTCCTTCAAGGCTTTGCTATTATCTCTGTCTACTTTACTTCTTAGTTTAAACATGTGACTAGCTATTTTTGGTCCTGTCAAGTTGCCATCAAGCATAAGCGTGTTATGAAGTTTGTAAGAAGAAGCATACTACTACAATTGTGGAAACTGGGTCACAAAATCTCGGGTGCTTCCATAAGAAGCCTTTAATGCTGATTTAATTTGTTTCTCTGCTGCAGAACTGCACCTCCAATTGGCAAGAAAGTGATCAGGTATATGTAAGAACATGGTTCCGACACCAACTACAGTTCATATTCGTTTTTTCGAGATTTTCTAAGAACTCTTCTAGGTTTAGATGCCGTACTGGTCAAGTCTACGTATCAGTTTCTATTTTGACCTGCCTACTTTGGGATGTATTGATTTAAGAAATGACAAACAATCCCGAGTTAGAAGATTTATGTAAGTACAATGTATCTGATATTAGCACTTAACATAATTTCTATTGTATCGAATTTTTTGACAAATGCGTGAGCGTGGGATGCATGGTAACCAGGTTGTTTTGTTGAATGCAGAGGTCGGCTCGAGGCCTGGAGAGGTAGGTTTGACAATGTTTGGGATGACCATGACAGCGGAAATTCGAGCTGGCATGGTCCTACAAGGGATAACCGAAAATCAGACGAAACACGTAGGGAGAGAGAAGACCGAGAGCTGCGAAGAAATGATGATAGGGATAGAAAGGAAGAAAGAGAGCAACGACGTTCGGATGAACGATCAGAACGGGATGAGCCGCGTCGCGTTAGGAGTGCCACGTTTGGTAGCGAGCGTGTTTTTTCCTCAATTCGTGGGCTCACCGCTATGGATGACCGAGAACGAGACAGGTAAGGGTCAAATTTCTATCATGTCTCAAATCTCGATATCTGTGTCATTTGTGAAGTTCTTATTTTGGCCAACAACTTCATCCTATACCTCAAAATCCTTACCAGATTCTGGCTTCTTTAAATATGTCTTGGTCCTTCAAATGTTTGCCTGTGCATTTTGTAGCAGCGCAGCATTGAGTTTTTCATTGCTGTTTTGTTTTTATTTTTATTTTTATTGTTATTTAATTTTTTAATAGGTAGTTGAGTTATGTTTTGTTTCTCATTTTATGACTTTTGCTATTGTTGCGATTAGGGACAGAGACTATCGTCAAGGTGGGCGTAGTGGTGATGATTCTGGTCGCATGATACAACGTGAGCGGTCGTTTAATGGAGCTATAAGCTCTATCTCTGATCGATCTAGTGTTACACAATTTGGCAGTGGAAAGGATTGGAGTGTAGGTGACAAGAGATCCGATTTGAGTAGGTTTGAAAGGTATGGTACTGGAAACCGTGATGGCTCCCGTGCAGAGTATGAAGGCCATGGTAGAGATTCAAGTTTTACCAACGGATGGCGCCGGGAAAGAAGCCACTCTGGTGTTACTGCGAGGCATTCCAGTTTTGCGTTTGGAAATAAGAACTTCGGAGAGCATGGAAGCAGAGGCTCTCTGTTATTGAGTTCCGGACATGACTCTCATTATGCTACTACATTGTCTTCTAACCACGATTCCGACCATCCATCCCCATCTAAGCGTCCACGCCTTGGTTGGGGTCAGGGGTTGGCAAAGTATGAGAAGAAAGTTGGAGATACTGATGACGTATCTCCTCCTGTCGAAAAACATGATACTAAAAAAGATGCAGAAAGTGAGGCTCATCGGCACGTTGAAGAATTTGAGGAGAACAGGGACATGTTGGACGAAAAGCGTTCAGAAATAGTTCCCAGCGGGGGAAGCTTGGATGCGTCCCTAGACTTACATAAAAAGCGTCCTATGCCAGGGGTGCATTATGAAAACAAACAAGAGGACAAGGAAGGTATAACTGATTGTCTTGAAAAGCAAGAGAAGAGTGAGAATAAGTCTATCCTGTGGAGAGACGGCGGAGGACGGGAGAGAAGTGGCCAAGATAAAAATTCCTGTGCTTTGTATGGAGATGGTATGGGAATAAAAGGGGAGGATGAAAAGAAGGCTGCTCTATCTGAAGAGCTTCTCGGACTTGAGCAAAGTCCTGCACCGCCTCTCTTGTTGGAAGATTGTGCTAATAGTACAAGAGAAGAGATGAGCGACAGTAAACCTGCACTTCCTAATGATACGAAAGTGTCGGAGCCGAATGCTCAGGATCCTGTATCACACGTCTTGGTGAAAGGCAGTCAGAATAGAACAGAGCACGATGACGTGACACTACCAGTGCTGCAAGAACATGAATCACTGGAAGGAAAGGACCAAAGTCTCGTCTCATCTGTTGTGGTGGGAGAGAATGAGGTAAGGGGTGGGGATTTAATGAAAAGTTCTTCACTTGTTGAAATGCGTGAAGAAGTTATAGAGGATAGACCCAAAAATGTTATTTCATTGACAGAGTCCCTCCAGTGTTCTGTTGATGCGAAGATGGTGTGTCTTTCCTCCTCTCAGTCTTCTCCGACTTCAGTGTCGACTAGATTCGAGAAGTCACCAATTCATTCTGAAAGAGATGCTATCACCATACCTGCCCTTTGCGAGCGTAAAGAAACTGAAGAAGGATTGTTCTTATCAAGAGAATCTAGCATGACTTCCGTGCCAGAGGGTTTCGTTGTAGAGTTGATGTCTGAAGGAACACCACCCGTATCAATGGATTTAGATGAGGATAAAAACGTCAAAGACGTGTTGGAATTGGTGCCTGTCGAGGCAATATCCGACTCAACAGATGAGGTCAAGGACGTCAAACTCGTGATGGAATTGGTGCCTGTCGAGGCACTACCCGAATCAATCGGTGAAGACAAAGACGTCAGAAGTTTGCCACATGAATTGATGTCTGCAGGTGTACCTTCGATTGTAGAAAAAGCCAAGGATGTAAGAGGTGTAGCACCTGAAACGGTGTCTGCAAATGTGCCTCCGGAACCAATGATCTTAGACACAGACAAGGGCATCGGAGGTATGTCACTTGAATTGATGCAGTCAGGTGTGCCTCTAGAATCAATGATTGTAGACAATGACGAAGTAATCGGAGGTGAGTTGAGTGGAAGCATGGCACAGAGTCTTGGGTCAGAGGAACCGGATTATTACAAGAATCAGTTTGGCAGTGAAGTAGTTCCAAGGCGCAGTTTACGACTGGAGTGTGATTTATCGATGATAGATTCTTTTCTGATGGAGAATAAAGAGAAAGCTCGCTTGGCTGGAGCTTCCTTTGTACACCTCCTTCCACTCAGTCTTACAGGAGACATTCAACAGCAGTTGTACCACTCCCCCACCGAAGCACCTGTCTGGCAACGTAACATAGAAACTCATAAGAACATACAGGATAGGTTGCTGAGGAAGCTAGCTGAGAGGCACCACTTCTGCAAATTCAAAGAACGTGTCTTAACCTTGAGGTTTAGAGCTCTTAAGGAGGCCTGGAAGCGAGAACAAAAAGGGCTTTTTGAAAGAAAGAATCGTCCTAAAGCAGTTGATAGACGGGACATTGAGAGGCGTAGCAATCATGGACCTCCAAGCCAACGGTCTTCCTTGCGGTTGCGTCCTTTCAGTAAGTGTCGATTTGGACATTTGAAAGCCTTTTCTGACGGAGTTGAACAATGAGGCGTTAATTGTATATCATTTTCACTCCAGCTATTTTGACTTATTGTATCTTTGTTTCAATCTAACAATTCGTGTTTTTGACAGGTTTGAGCAGGCTGGATGTTGAATCGGAGGCTGCGGAGGCTATGAAGAAGTTGATGAAAGATCCTCATGTGGAAGCTTTTTGTCCGGTTTTGAAAATGCCAGCCATGATCTTGGATGAGAAGGAACGCGCTTCTCGTAGGTTTGTGAGTAGAAATGCGCTTGTGGAGGATCCTGTTGCTGTTGAGATGGAGCGTAAGATCCTTAATCCATGGACAACCGAAGAGAAGAAGATCTTTGCTGAAAAGTTCGCACTTCATCGCAAAAGCTTCAAAGAGATTGCTTCTAACTTAAAGTACAAGACTACAGCTGATTGTATTGAATATTACTACCGGAATCATAAGTCCGAAGACTTTGACAAATCTAAGAAGGGTGTGCATTCTAAAGATCGAGGTGACCACACCAAGACAAGTTCTACGTTTCTTACGCCGACTTCGGCAGGGATCAAACGGAATCATGAAGCAAATTGTGCCAGACTTGAGGCTATTAACGTAGTCAACATGAATACGAAACTATCTCAAATTAATAGCCCGGTCTTGGAGCATGCCAAACCTACAACACTTTCAAATGGTCCTTTGCCAGTGCCAGCTGGTGCTGATATTCCAAGGCTAAATCTGAAGGAAAGTGAGGTGCCTGAAGTGGTACTTCCATCTGGAGCTACAGCTGAGATAGCCACTGTTGAGACAGCTACGTCAAGTCTGATGAGCACTCCTTGCAGTGTTAGTTCTACACCTGCTCCGGTAACGGATCAATGGAATGGCAGAAGCTCTGTGAAGGAGAGGGTAGGAAGAGGCCTTTCAACGACTAGGTGTTTTCTCTCTGAACGGCATCCTGCTGGACCAAAGGGTACACGGAGCACACATTTGCGACGCCTGTCATCCAGGGCAGCTGCGCAAGAGGTTGGTGTTTAGAATCTGCATCATATGAATCATATATCTATTTTTGTATTAGATGTTGAATGTAGGGTTGTGGACTTACATCAGCATAATTTTTCTCAAGTTCGTGCTTCTTCAAATTACGTTTTTGTTTGTTTGTTTTTAATTTTGTTTTGTTTTGTTTTTTTGTTTTTTTTTGTTGAGATCTCAATGCTTTGTTCTTATCTTAATCTGACTTGCTATGGCTACCTCACTAAGTGTAGGGAGGCGTCTGTCAGCATTGAAGATAAATGTTATAGAAATGATTATACTTGTGTGATTATTGAAATGTATATTATCTGTGATTTTTGATTTCAGGATTCACAATGGACGGATGAAGAAAGAGAGCTTTTTACCAGTGCAGTGGCAACATATGGGAAGGATTTCCGCCTCATTGCTTCGCATGTCGGTTCAAAAAATCTAAGCCAATGCAAAGCGTTTTTTAGTAAGACCAGGAAGCGTCTTGGGCTTGATGAGTTGGTGGAGCAGTTTGAAGCCAATGAAGCTGCTGCTATGTTGATGCAAAGTTTTAGACATGAAGCAGACCTTGTGCAAGAGGCGAAGCTGATCAGCTCCGCTGAGGTGAGGGTTTTCACTTTGTGCAGTTAAAGTTTTTCTTTTCTTCCTAGTTTTACCACTTGATAAGTTTAAAGGCTTATACTTAAGATTAGAATTTTTTTAATTGAATTATATCTCTTGCTGGTTGAAGTATAAGCTGCAGTATTGTTGCCTGATATGTCCTTCAGATCTTATACCGCAATATGACGTGGAAAATTTGGACTCGGCAGGATATGCAGATGGACTCTTCTGCTGGAGTTTTGGCTCACTCTGTGGAGGAGCTCAGTGATACGGCTGCAGCCGTTAGCACCTTAGAGAGCCTCAAAGTCCAGTCAAAATGTTTAACGAATGACATGTCAGATTTGAGCTTGGTTGCTGATGCAGCAGCAGTGATGGAAGAAATCACGCTAGAGAAGTCGGAGTGCACAGCACAGGACCTATTTTCTAATGAGAAATCATTGACACAAAGTGAAGAGCTTGCACATGAGCTCTTAAAAGTTGATCCTTCCAATTGCACAGTACTTCCTGCAAGGATAAGGCAGGAGGAAGAGAACGACAGTGAAGCTACTAAATCGGATGACAGCTATCAGGTTGGTGCTGAGACTGAAAGCGATATTGTTGTGGATCAAGCAGCAGCCGCCTTACTTGGAATGTCTGAAATGTCAGCAGATGCTCCAGGGTTAAAGAAAAGCAAATCCGAGGCCAAGATTTGTACTAAATCTTCGCCTGTCAGTGTATTCTCGCGATCGCAATCAGCTCGCCTACCGACTTCATCTCCTCCGTCGCATTCTGTAATGGAGGTCAACCTGAGTTTGACATCTGAAAGAAACTCTCGACAATTAAAGGAGAGGGTGAATCCTACAGTATCATGCAAACCAACTACCAGGGAAAGACCTCAAGATATGCTTGATGCCCACACTGGGAGAAAAAGTAGAGAGGTGGTAGGCGGAGAGCCAAAGCCTCGGAGAGAACCTACTTCGTGGACGCAAGAAGAAAAGGAGAAGTTTGCAGTGATTTTGCAAGAACATGGCAAAGACTGGGCATTGCTGCACGAGAGTTTACCTTCGAAATCATTGACTCAGATCAAGACCTACTTTCAGAACTCCAAAGCTAGATCAAGGTTGCCTGCTTCTGACAAGCTTTTGAATGTGGCTCGGAGTGACGTAGGAAATCGTAAGCGCAAAGCTGACGAGTTCGATTCAACAAGGAAAGCTGCAGAGTTGGCACTACCTTTGAAACAGAAGGTCAGAGGCAATGTGGCTCCTCCTGAGTTCGATAATAGTAATCATAAAGAAGATAGTCTACTTGGTTCTTCATCAGTTTCAGGAACCGCTGGTGTTGGGGTTGACATCCTTCCGTATGCAGCTCGTTTTGGTTCTTTTCCTAGTCAACCAGTTGGTCAGGATACCCTAAATATCAATGGGATGCACTCAGTTCGTCAAATGCCTACTTCGAACTACTCCCAGGTACTTCCATCTAGTCGCCTGTTTGGGATTGACTTTCAAGATACACCATCGTAACGGTACCCATAGCAGCTGGGAGTGCATGTGATTATGAATCTCTACCTCTTGATTTTGTGGTAGAGTCCGATTTAGATTAAATTATTTCTTTGGGTTTATCACGTACTAATATGTGAGAAGAACGTATCATAGAATTTGAATTGGTGCAGTAAAGGTAAGCATTACATGTGAATCTATCTTATTTTGCAGGGGACTACACAGGATGGACATCAAGTCTTTCGACCTGGAGAGAGGCCCTCATTACCGAACCCAGTTGCGACTCGTTCTCATCATGGGGATGTTGTATTGCAGCAGTTTTCTGATCCAGGTTTATCAATGACAGGTGATCCTGACCTCCAGGGACTATCTCAAGGCGTGGTACCACAAGCTGGGCCACCAGCAGCCATTCATCAGGTTGCTCAGCAAGTGCAACAGGTAAATTTGGTACATTGCCTGTTTTCTATCTTCTCTGGAACTTTGCCTGAATAAATATTTGTCATTAACTTCACTGCGTCTTGCATTGAGATATCTATAATTTGCATGTAACCTTGGCTGAAATTTCGAAATTTTAGATCCATAATATGGGTTACATTTTGATAACAGAAATTATTTGTATATTGCAGATGCTTGCTCAGCAGCAACATCTTCAGAAGCAGCTGGCACTTCTTTTACAACAACAAGCTGCTCTTCCACAAGCACTTCTACCGCAGCATCAACAAGCAACTCAGCAAACATTGCAGGCTGTGCGGCCTCTTGAAAAGAAGGTAATATCTTTTTAAAATTGGATGCACGTGTATGCCATAGCAAGTTTTGAACGAAAAATGTTCACAATTTTATTGAAGTAAATTCTGACCATCGCACCTTTATTTGGAAACAGCTGCATCAAGTTGTACAACAATTACAGCACCAACAGGCTCTAGCACAGAATCAAGAGATGGGGATTCATAATCACATGCATTTCCAGCAGCAGCAGTTACCGCAAGGACGGGGTATATTGAAAGTGAAGCCTATTCGAGGAGCCATATCTAAGCCTTTGTCAGATTTGGCAGGTTCACCATCTCAAGGTGTTTTTCAGAATCAGTGTAATTCACGGAATCAAGACATCCAATTGCATCAGCAGGGTCACTCTTTGTTACTAGGAATTGGCACCAATCCCGCAGTGACAGCTGGTAGTACAGCTGGACTCTTGAAGAACCATGCGAAGACACTTGATGTTCAGGACAGTGACACTGATTCAGATTGTGAAGGTATGGGAAGCATGCAGATGGTGGCAGATGACTCCCATCAGCGGATGAGTGTAGTGCATTCAACTTCTTCTGGTCAACAGCAAGGTGCTGCGCAGAGCACTACTTCCACATTATCAAGCGATTCGGAGCAAGTGAAATCCTGGGATGTTAAGTTATTTGGCCAATCCCTCCTATCCAAACCACCATCATTGCCCTCAAGTGTACCACGCACTGCAGGAAGCTCAATGCAAGAATTTGTCAAGCCTAGCACATCTTCTCCGGCAACCTCAGTTACATTTCCTACTGGAACCTTATCAAAGGGGTTCAGGTCTTCTGAATCTCTCCCTTCTGCATTTGGACGAGTAGGAGCTTCATCAAGCGTTGCAGACGGGCAGCTTGTTCCGTGGGCGGGTATGACTAACCTGTCAGGAAAGTTGAGCCAGTATGGTGCATGGAGTACAACAAACAGCTTACAGGTATCTGGAGTGACAGAAGCTGCTGGGAAGGAACCGGATTCTGTTAGTACCCAAGAAGCTGCTACATCTGTAGCATCACAATCAGATCGTCAGCATACTGATGCTCAAGTCCTGGTTTCGGCACCCGAGCAAGGTCTACAAGGAAATGACGAACACCGTGATAGTGAGAGTGGATTGAGTGCTGGTCAATCGGAAACACCAGTTTGTGGCACTGCCGTTGCCGAAAGTCCGTTTCTTGATGGAAGTCAAAACCGTTCGATTGAACATGTATCAAGCCCAGACGCAGATCAATGTCGAATTGGTTTGGAGCCTACATCCCATATAAATTCACTGCCTACCATTTCTGCAGGTCCTGGACAGTGGGGGTGAGCTATTTTGACTTTTGGAGATTATGTTAAGGCAGTACTTTTGGGGCTTCTCAAGATCATGGAAGCCGCAATTATTTCCCATTCATTGTCTTCTCCTCCGATAAGAGCTAATGAATGCTCTGCGAAAGGGAGCTGAAGATCAAGTAGCTTGGTTGAGAATTCTCCACTCAAGCGCTCAGAATGGTACGATGCGCATGTTCAAGGAAGACATTTAGAAGGCGCACATGGATATCTACAAGTGATGGGATGAGCTGTTCAGGCTTCGTGGATTACCTCATGACTGCAGTGGCACCCTGGATTCTTGTATAGAAGTTTTTCAAGATGAAAATTGATGCAGTTTCACCTATGCTGTTGATAACTCGATCTGAATTTTTAGGTGATGTCTGATCACCCCCACTCAACATCCTTACTCCAACAGCGAGGGAATTCATGTCCTTCAGACGTCATGGCTGTTGGCTTTGGTATTGATGGCATGGAACGTTTGCGCATTACTTTCCTAGGTACACGAGAACGCTGGTCTCCGAATTGTATAGGGCAACTACTTTATGCCTTTGTATTATACGCATTGTGTTCCAATTTTTTTCAGTACAATGCTATAGTGAAGAAGCTTTTCGCCTTCCGACCAACAAACTCCCCATTGTAGGGCCTGTTAACCTTTATCATGTATTTTCTGTTCTACGTATGACTAACTTTCGTGTATGTTAAATTCGCTTTTACAGGACACCTGGTGCCCTGGAACCGATGGTGTCCTGTTGATGAACATCCGCGGGGACTATCATTCACGAGGGATAGCGGGCGGGGAGCAGGGCCCCGAATTTGTGTAGGATTTTTACTTCACTTCTGCAGTCGAATGTGTCGAATTTGGAACATGGTGTGCATGGTTGACTGCACGTAGCAAGTGCTGGTCGCCGATCCGATCTTCCTCAGTGGCGATCCACATCTGTTTCGTCGTTGGTGTGCTTGTGTATGTAAATTTTGATAGAGTAGTCTTCGTAATCCCCAAGCTCGCCCACAAGCTCGTCACCCGTGGACAGGGCGGAGGGTTTGGGACCCTGCTCAAATTCTTGTATGGGATGGACGGCCTTTGGCGACGTCTATTCGCAGCACACCCTTCCCCGGTACGTGGGCAGGGAGGTGTCTTGTCGCATCCTGCCAAATCCCCCAAATTAAACTCTTACACTGGGTGTTCCCGCAATTTAATGTAGCAGGTTTTCGCAGCTTACCAGATGCAAGTGCCTCTCCCTCAAAATGTCCAACATATGTGATTTTCTTTGGCGTGCAAATGTGATGAAAGCCCGTACTGTCTTTTGTTTAAATTTTTACCGTAATCTGTAAATTATTATCTCAGATTCTGCAACTGTTTGTCGACCCATCAGTCACCTCATCTGTAATCACACTCCACGGCTTCTCTCTTAAGATTCCTCTTGGCTGTAATCTAGTGTCGTCTCTGTGTCTCTTCTGCTTTCATTTTCTAAAATTGCTGTTTCGCTGGTGCCATTGTATTAGCTGTCAAGGATTCTCTCCAGGTCCTTTTTTTGGTGGAAATTCTCATGATCTAATCTCGTTTTAGATTCCGGCCCCAGCTTCTGAAGGCATCCTTACCCCCTCTTGTAGCCACTGTTCCGTCATAACGGAACCTCTGTCTCCGTCACAGCCAATCAACAGATTGAACACACACCCCCGTCGTCCTTTTCATGGTCTTCAGATTATGACGCATCGAGAGGATTTTTAAAATTTCAACTCTTAATGCCTGTCGCTCTGATCATCGAACCTTCAGCTCCGGTTGTATCGAACCTGCACACTTCCCTCAAATTTGATGAAACTGTACCCTACAGAGGAATTTATTAAAGGTGATCGGTACGAGAAGACTTAATTGACGAGGAGCAGATTGGAAAGGTCCTGGAAAGGGACGCGGCAGAGGCTCAAGACAGGCCAGAGAAAGAGGATAAAGATGAGGATGAGTCTTCCACATTGGCAGAGGAGCTGGAAGGTATGGCACCTACTCCCGCAGGCAGACTCTAGTCCGCTCCTGCTACCACAACATCAACTGCCCCTCGTGAATCGCATGTCCCTCTCTATTCTCATGTCAAGCTGCTTTCTATTGTCCCTTGCTCGCTCTATCTGATTACTTTACACTTGCTGAAGGATGGAGTGATTCTGTCGAGTTCGAGATAATGGGTCAGCAGTGAACATAGGAGGATTGAGGAAACTCATCGATGGATTGGTGATGGTGGGGGAGTGGTGGGAAGATCATTGAGCTGGAGCGGCGTTAGGGTTTGAACCTGAGAGACGGGTTTGGGTTGTGAATGGAGGCAGAGAGTGGCGGATGAAGTGGAGAAGGTGCAGCAGACGTTGTTGGAGTAATGGTGAATTGTGGGAGGGGTGATGGTGGTGGTGTGCTGGGCATCTGAATTGCTTGAGTTTGTCATTGAAGGTGGATTAGGAGGTGGGAGGTAGTGTAGTGATGACAAGATTGGTGGTAGTCTTTTCAATCAGTTGAGGGTTGATTGTGGTTTGATAAGTGAGCGAAGTGGTGAAGAGATCTTGTGCTTGGATTGGAGCATTGATAGGATTTGGGAGGAGACATGGAGATGCAGGAGCAGGCTGGAGGGTGGAACCCAATTGTCGTCCTGGCACTCCATTGTCATAACGTTCAAAAGTCATTGGCGGTTTTACAAATGCCTAGACCTCCATCCTTGCCTTGTGTAGCGTCAATTTCGACGAATTTGGGGAACGAGCACCCGCTCAACTCCCTCGTTTCAGCATTCATGTCGGCGAAGAAAGGGGTGCCGCCGGCCGTGTTGACGTTCTTCCGGCAAGGGAGTTATAACGAGAGAGAAAATAATCACTGTACTTGCAGCTGCAGCAATCAGGTGGAGCCATTGGCGAAGCATCATAATCCTTCGAAAACGTTCTTCGGTCTTTCGTTTCCAAGTTCCGGCTTTTCTGGAGGTGTAGATCTTAATGACAGGGCTCAATTATCGACCTGCAGTTCTTGTCAGGCTCGCCAAGATTCTTGGGACGCAGAAAGCAAGTCTGCGGCACAATCGCTTCTAAAATTTAGAATGCAGGATTTCTCAATTGCAGATTTCAATGGCAGTCGAGGCGAGCGATGTGCCACTTGTCGTTGCTGTTGCGCTAAAGGGAAGCTGGAGAGTAAAATTAATAGCCGGGATCCTGGGTTTGAGGGTATCATCAATGTATCCATTATGGTGATGTCTATGATGCTCAGACACAATTCCAAACAGGGGGAGAAACGGAACTCTGCCGTTAATATCCTTCATAGTGATGTGTCGAAGTTGACAAGTTGTTGCACTTCCAAACAGGTTTTGGTTCATTCAGAGAATAAGCATTTACACCATCGTCTGATGCAAATTCCTGTTCTAGGGTTTCTCTCCCAGCACTTAAACAAAAGACTTGCTTCGCAGTATTCTGTAGCTAAATGCGATCGTAAAAGGAATCGCTTGTTAGTGTGCAACTGCGGCCATCTCGAAGAAGAAGGCCATGACTTATCCTCTAGGAAAGCAGCTAAGAGGCCTTTCTTGGACTTTTCCTTGGCCAATTTCATGCAGTTTAGGACGTCCGCAGTGGGCAATCTAGTTGAAAGTGATGTAAAAAGGTTGAGGCCTTCCAGGATAGCGACACTAGGGTTTGCTAGGCTGCAAGGGGAGCCCGATGGTGGCTCAGCTGGCGCTGTTGTTGTGTCTGTTGAAGGAAGAGAAGATGTAGTTGAAATGGGAAATTTGATAGAAAAATCGAAAAATCCGAGTCAACCGAGTGAAAGGGAAAAAAGCTCAGGATTACAGCCTATTCAGGTGAAGCTGCTTAACATAAATGGGTTACGGTCATCCTTGGCTACTCTAGGCGTGAAGGAGGGCGTGCAGGATCTTGTGGATCGAGTGTCTAATATGACTAGAAGCTCAACGGACTACCCGGACAAGAAGAAGTTGACGTCAGTGCAAGACTTTTTTAGATACACGGAAGCCGAGGGTAAGTATTTTAAATCGCTTAGCATAGATGTTGGAGAGTGTGAAGAGGGCACTTATGTCACATAATTGTAGAAAGAGAAGCTCCCTCAAAAAAGAATACATGACTGTTACTTTTATAGTGTTGTTTGCAGCAGGATATTCGAAAGACAGTGTTGCTAGTCAGGTCGGTGATGATTGTATTGTTCTCTCTGCTAACAAGGGTTATCGTATTCTGTAGGTAGAAGGTTGTTCGATGAGTTGGATCGCGATGGTGATGGGCAGGTGACTCTTGAAGATCTTGAAGTAGCTATGAAGAAGCGAAGATTACCTCAGCGTTATGCCAAGGAGTTTTTGCGTAGGACTCGGAGGCACTGGTTTGCGAAATCAATTGGTTGGAGCGAATTTCACGTGTTGATGGAACAAAAGGAGCCGCAGATGCTGCGTGCTTTCACGACACTAAGTTTAAGTAAGTCGGGTACTCTACAGAAGAATCAGGTGCTTGTTTCCTTGAGAAATGCGGGGTTGCCTGCAACAGATGGTAATGCAGCAGCTATGATGAAGTTCTTGAACGTTGATACAGAGGGTTCAATTGCTTATGGTCAATTTCGGAACTTTATGCTTTTGCTTCCACCAGAGCGTCTTGGAGATGACCCACGGTGCGTTTCCCTTTAGTATCAACTTGTGTTCTTTAATTTCCTAATTTCTTCTGTATAGTTCTTAATCGTGTGTATAGTTCTATAAGACTAGGTTTTGATGGTGCTGATGTCTTATCTTTATGTGCGTGTATCTTAATGTTTAGGATGGTGTGGTTCGAAGCAGCGACTGTGGTGCCTATGGCTCCTCCTGTCGACATCGCAGCTGGCTCAGTTCTGAAGTCTGCTTTAGCTGGAGGAATGGCGAGTGCTCTCACGACTTCCATGTTACATCCACTTGATACTGTTAAGGTGAGTTGTTTTAAAAGGAAATCAAGTCATAGTCTAGTGCAGTAGTTTTGATCTTGGCAGCTGAGACATAACGTTCTCTGATCCGACAATATGGAAATGTGAGTATTTAATAGTGGGTTTTGCCGGATTGCAGGTATCGATTAATGAAATTGTTGTTTGTCTTTTGCATTTAATGTTGGTAATAGAGAGTATCCGTTGGAGCAGTTACCATGTTTAAATCGTACTTTAATGAGTCTGCAGGTCTTAAATTATTCGATTTTTCACTTCTGTCTCAAACAGAGATGCCTTGGATACTCAATGAACGTGTTTTGGTTTTGTAGACGAGGGTCCAGGCATCCACCTCGTCCTTTCCAGAGGTAATTGCGAAGCTGCCTCAGATCGGTATTCGAGGCATGTACCGTGGGTCTATTCCAGCAATTCTAGGTCAATTCACCAGGTGAAGGATCATGTTTAATACTTCGGTAGCCGTGCTTATTTTATTTATTTTACTTCCTTATATGGCTATTGCAATTTGAAAAAGTTGGGCTTTAGATGACAATATATTTAAGTGGGAAGCTCACGTAGTTTTCTGGAATGTGCCAGTCATGGAATTCGCACAGGTGTTTTGGAAGCCAGCAAGCTACTCTTAAAAAACATGGGACCAGAACTTTCTGATCTTCAGGTGTGTATCATGTAGTTCAAGCAAGGCGTTTTGTGCATTTCCTTAACATCACTTAGCATAACTACATATGCACAAAATCTTTGAAATGTTTCGGTGTACTAAAACATACGTCAACAGGTGCAATCTTTGTCTTCCTTCACCAGCACTGTAATTGGGACTGCTGTCCGAATTCCGTGCGAGGTATTGAAGCAGCGACTGCAAGCTGGCTTGTACAACAGTGTAGGGGAAGCTATTGTGGGAACGTTTCAAAGAGATGGCTTGAAAGGTTTTTTCAGAGGAACAGGAGTGACTTTGTGTAGAGAAGTTCCATTTTACGTTGCTGGTATGAGCATCTACGAGGAAGCCAAGAAGGTGAGTCATACTCCCCAACCACATGAGTATTTACTAGAGATTTCGTGTCATGAAAATATCTTACTGACGAAAACTTTGGCTGTCCAGGTTGTTCAAAAAGTACTGGACAGGGAGCTGCAACCATGGGAAACAATCGCTATTGGTGGTCTCTCTGGAGGTCTCGCGGCCATTGCCACAACGCCCTTTGATGTAATGAAGACGAGAACTATGACTGCAGGTCCCGGCATGCCATCCACCATGGGTGCTATCATGGTTGCCATAGTGAAGGATGAGGGTCTTTTGGCTCTTTTTAAGGGAGCAATTCCACGTTTCTTTTGGATTGCGCCTCTTGGAGCCATGAACTTTGCCGGTTATGAGTTAGCTAAGCGAGCCATGGAAAATGAGGAGAAAGCAGTTCAAGCTGTAGGAGAAAAGGAGAAGTCCAGATAAGAACCCCAGAGTAACTGCCCTTTCTATGGGAGTCTGTAATGCTCAACAGTTTCATTTCACATCAAATGATTGATGAAATGGTGTACATACGTTTTGAAAGTACATTGGAGTGACAAACAGAAATCAAAGAGGATAATGGGGTAGCAATCCAGTATTAGATTGCAGATTTTCCGGTGGGATTGGCTTTAGACTTTGTTCCATTAGAGCATGTGAAGACTGTGAAAACCGCAGGAAACCAGTAACTTGAACGTGAGGACGAGTATTCTTGGCTGCATCCCACAATGTTGTCATTGTCGAGGAGAAGTACTTTTGGGTCTCTTTTGGCCAGCAAGATCCTCACAATTGGTGCTGCATTGCCTGTTTTGGTTTTAACTTGGGAAGCAATGTGGCATCCGGAGCTGTGCGTTTTTATCCCACTGTGATAGACACCAGGAGGCACTTTTCTGAAATTTGTCGACAATTTGAAGATTTTTCGGGTTTTAATATCGTAAATTATTGTATCTTCTAACATCTCGAGGGCGCAGTTGCTCAGGTTGGCGAAGAATTCCCTTATCAGGGACCTGTTCTTTGACGATTCTGTGAGTCTTCCAGAAGCTTAGGTGCTTAAGCAAGGCAAACTGTCAGGAAGAGGAGGGGCTTCAAGAAGCTTTAATTGCAGCTAACGTTCCGAAATTGATTTTTGTCTTCGTTCATAACTCAGAGCACTTATGTGGAGGGTTTTTATACTGTAATTTTGCTAGTTTGTCAACATTGCACTGCTGTCAGTCACCCTGCCGATGCCAAATGCCTTTCAGAGATTAGGCATTCAAAGCTAGTTTTAGTTCTTGGAAGTGTAGTTGTCTTATTTCACAATCTCCATTTTAAGGATAATGGATTTTATTTTTATTACAATTGTGATGGTTTTTTTTAGTTTTTTATGTCATTTGGACTTTCTTAGAAGATGAAAAGTCAATTACAAAATTGGTCCTTCAATGTCGCCAATTTCCATTCTCTTCTATCGATCAAGTTGATTTGAGCTCAATCTTAGCAAAGTGAAGTTTACATAATTTTCAAATGCTCAATCACGTATTACAGCCACATGCCCACGGATTGAAATTGGCCAAAATATCTTCAAGATTAAACAAGAAGAAAAATTCATGTTGATGAAAGATGTAATTTATTTTCTTATTATATTGACTAATATACTTAGCTTCCTTTGTATTTTTAATTATGTTATTTGTTTTTTTAATTCATGTATAGGCATGAGATATCATTTTATTTGAAAAAAGTTATTTTTTTTATAAATCTTTTTGAATTTTATAAAAAAATTTTGCTTGAAAATATGTTAAATTTAAATTTAAATTTACAATCAATCATACAATAATATCCATCAAAAGACCTTAGATATTTGTTTATTTATTTATTTATTTATATCTATAATCAATAAATATAAAAAATCAATGAACCTATAACTATTGAATTGTATATATTTGGAATTTATTATTTTATTGTTATATACTTATTTATGATTCTCTTCCTTATATATATATATATATATATATATATATCTTTTGTGTCAATCTTTCCAACTATACTATATTTTTTAAAAAATCTTCTATCTAATACTTTTAATTACAAGTTGTTATAAAGTGGTCACTATCCATATTTCTACTTTTAATTTTTGGTATTTATATAATTGTTTCAAAAAATAGTTTAAGAACAAAGTTTTTAAAAAATATTATGTAATAAAAAATTAAACTTAAGATGTTGACATATTTTATATGAATAATAAAAAATATTAAATTTAATTAAATACTTAATACATTATAATACCTTATATTAACTTGTATATAAACCATATGTTGCACTTTTGTCTCTATTTGGAACGTATAATATTAATTTATTATTAAAAAATCTCTAATATTTTATGTAATGGTTATTCCTTTTTTATATCCTATGGTTTTTTTTGCTATCTATATTCTATTCCACTTACCAAGATAACTAACTACACCTTATTAGCTGAATATATCTTATTAAATACCGAATCATTATTTTATACACCTTATTTTATATCTAAAAGAGCTTCAATGATGCAATATTCTTATGATCCTCTCACTGTATTAGATTTATTTTATAAGCCTTGATAGTTCCCATTTTTCCTCAGTAGCTCAAAATGGCATCAAGTTATTAACAACTCCGGGTTGGTATTACGACTCATGCTTATCATAAACTGAAAGTTTATCCAAATCTAAACAATAGAAATTAGTAACAACAACTTTATTTTGTTGGGATCCACCCAATTATTGTATTTTGAGGAATAATGAGAAGAATCAATGGATTCAAAAGGAAACATAAAATAATGCATGCTTAATTTGTTATCATTATGGATGTACAATATATAAGCATACTATTTGAGATTTGTAAGAAAAGAATCTCAACATGTAATCTGACGTATACATCTATCTATGTAAGACTTCATCCATGGATGGATGTGAGGTAATAACAAGGATTATTATTATTCCAACACCCCTTCTTATTGCAAGTATTGCATCAATAATGAATGGAACATAAGTAGTAGAAGTGACAATGGTTGCTTTATGAAGATGAGTGCTCAAAGCATCCAATTTTTTTTCTACTATTGATCAATTTAAAAAGGAGGTTGGATTTATAAAGAGAAAACATGAAGACACCACCTTGTGATTTGTCACTTTGCCAAATTGTTTATTGATGGGTAGCACCACCATTTTGTAAGTGTATAATTGTATTTATCATGAATTATTACTTTAGCAACAAGAAGGCAAGTAAAACTTGTATGCTAGGATGTAAGACATATAAAAGGTGGAGTTGCTTGAGGTGTGTGTTGTCATAGTTCCCTTTGTATTGAGTAGGTTCTTTCCAAACTTTATCAAGTATTTATTACAAACTAGAAGATTTTAAAAACATTCTAAGAATATTTTAGAAGAATTTAGATGGTTTTAAAAATATTCCAATAGATTCTAGAAAATTCTAGGAGGATTAAAGAAGTTTTTTAAGAAGGATCTTAGGATTGCTTTGTTTTTAAGTAACATAGAAACTTCTCAAGAAGATTTTTAATACTTAATACATATTAGAGTAGAGATTGAAGGAATCTTTAGTCTTGATAACATGTCTCTTAGAGTTCTAGCTCATCTCTGTTGGTATTGATCTTGTACTCATCTGATTTAATTAAGTTTATACTAGCTTTCTTATTCAAACTCTTCTATTCAACTTCTTGTTCAATCTTTTATATAATGTATCTTCTACATCAAAATAGGTCTGTATGGAGTATATAATTTTGTATGGATTAAAAAAAGAGATGAATGGAAGATAATATTTTGGATAAGGTACAAACATTTTAAATATAATCTCATGCCTTTTAGATTAACAAATATTCTAGCTATATTCTAGCATTTGATGAATGATATTTTTTGAGAATTCTTAGACAAGTTTGTGATTACATATCAACAAAAGAAGTAGTAAGGATTATCAAATATTTTATCAAGGAGATCATATCTTGCTCTAAAGACCAGAGAAGCAACATTTGATGAATAATATACAACTCTCTTGAAGCCAAAATAATTTTATCTTTGTGCTACTTCTATAATTATACATATTGATTCAAGTTTTTTTAAACAAATGAATGCTCCATGAACTAAAAAATCATTAATTTATAATATCAAGCAATATCCTAATAATGACAAGCTCAAATTTTTCAAAAATCTTTTATATTTTAAGATTATTTGTATATTCCAAAAGAGCCGATACAACTTAGTGTTCTTCAATTTCATCACAATTTTTCAACTACAAGATATTTTGGATTTAATAAAATATTGGAGCTTATTTCTTGAGATTTTTAGTTATTTCAATTATACAAGGTTATAAAGGACTTTGTCTTCTCTTAAGATATTTATTCAAGATCCAAGAATTTCCAATATTGTCCTTATGAACTTCTACAATTACAACTAATTTCAAAGCAACCATGGTCTTTAGTATGAATGGACTTTATCATTGATTTGTTACTATCATCTACATTTGATGCTATCTATGTTGTTGTGAATTGACTTACAAATATCATATATTTTATCTCATCCAAAAAGATAATTTTTAGAAAAGAAACGACAAGGCTCTTTCTTGATAAAATAAATATAAATATCATGACTTATCAAATTACATCATTTTTTTATCAAAGACCTCAATTTATATCTAAATTTTAGAAATCTTTTTTCGAGATATTGAAGGTAGATATAAACTTTTTATTACCTTCTATTCTCAAACTAATGGTCAAACAAAACAAATCAATCAAGTTTTGGAGCAGTATTTGCAATGTACCATCAACTATCAATAAGATGATTAGACTTTGTATTTATCTTTAATTTATTTTGATAAAAATAATAATATTTTTCATTCTTTGAATCAACAAACACCATTTTATGCCAATTATGATTACCATCCAAAGTTTTATTTGTTAAGTACATTAAAAGATGAAAATTCAACAACTAAAGATCTTACAAAAAAATTATCACAACTCTAGACAACTTTGAAGCTCTATTTATAAGTAGCTTATGATTCTTACAAAGCATCTTCAGACAAATTTAAAAAGAAATCTCTTGCTTTTGAGGTTAGAGATAAAATATGTCTTCTTTGATGAAATATCAAGACCAATCGACCTTGCAAAAAATTAGACTACCAAAAATTAGGGCCATTTTGTATTCAAAAGTAAATCAATTTAATGGCTTATCTATTGGAAATATATTCATCTATAAAGATATATCTAATCTTTCATATTATTTTCTTTGAGGCTTACACAAAATCAACTATTTGAAGAAGAATACAACTATTAATACCTTGCATTCAAATAAATAATCATATGGAATAAGAAGTGGAAAAAGTCCTTGATTTTTGGTAAAAAGAAAAAAAAAAATTGGAATATTTTATTCATTAAAGTAGCTACAATATTAATGAATGCATATAAGAATTAACAAAAAATCTAATTAATATGCCACAAAAGATACAAGTATTTCATTGATGCTATTCTCAAAAATCTAAACCTATTTTAAGACGATTTTTATATGAAGCTTCTACTAAGATGTTGTATATAAAGAAAAGAGAAGATATTACTCACAACAATCTTAAAGTTTAGTATATTCAATTTATGATTTAATATGTCAAATTAGAAAAGGCTTAAAGAGTATTTAAATCATGAATCTTAAATAGAGTTAGAGTTGGAGCTTTCATTATCACAATTATTAGATCAATTGTTCCAACTCTTGTAACCTTTGTAAGATCATCTTCAAGATGAGGCTGGATCTTCTTGAAGAAGAAAACATCTATGATATAGTCAACTCAAATAAAAAAAACCTCTAAGATGATATTTAATCTTTGGTTATTCTATTGCAAGTTGGTATAGTAGAACCTAATGGAGCTAAAGTCACTTTTCATGGATATTTTGAAGGCCTTAATGCTAATGAAGTTTAAAGAATATGTCTTTTACGAGTAGATAAAAGTAGCTATTATTACTATTTAAATGGACAAGTTTATCTTTTGAATAGACATCAATATGTAGGATATGTTGCATCTACTATTTAATAAATCCTTATATTCTTGTATATGTAAAATTGATGCTCTTCATGAAACTTACAGTTAGAAAAAAAATATTATTATGGACATCTAATAAGAAGATTTTAAGAATATTTTAAAAGATTCTAAAAGGTTCTTAAAATATCTTAATAGAAGATTCTAAAAAGATTTTTAGAATATTTTAAAAGATTTTAGATGGTTCTCAAAATATTTAAGTAGATTCTAGAAAGTTTTAGGAGGATTAAAGAAGCTATTTAAGAAGGATCCTAGGATTGCTTTGTCTCTAAGCAATATGGAAATTACTTGAAAAGCTTCCTAATATCCAATATATATTAGAGTTGAGGCTGAGGGGATCTTCAATCCTGACAACATGTCTTTTAGAGCTTTAGCTCACTTTTATTAGTATTAATTTTGGACTTAT